GTAGGCTAGCTAATTGCCCCAGTTCACCCTGCACTGTGGGGTGTCCTGTGATGCAAGAGTGCCATGTTGAAACCAGGTCAGTCTTAGAAAACTGGAACCGTTGCTCACCCTACTTTTGGGAATTCCCTCCAGTTGGGCAACTTTGTACTATCACTACATGAAGGACTATAATTCCTGATATTTTCCCTTTTTGCCCCTGGTGGTCCCCTAGTGTTATGCTGACCCTTTTGTTTAAAGGACATAGACCAGGCCACAGCAGGAGGAAGTCTTCTCATATAAAGCATGCACCTAAGGGGATGTTCCAGCGGCAACTCCTCAGACATCATGGCTGACTTGGAAGGTCGCTTCTATCTCCACCGCCCCTCCCAAAGGTACTGGCTTGACTGCTGCTCCTTTGCTCTTTCTCTCTATCATTCTGTCCTTTTGTTCCAATTCTACCCTTACGCCCTTACAGCACTGATTTCTCCGCTCTTTGTACCCTAAATACAAAAGGCTCCTCTCCTAATCTGACTCTTCATCTTGTTTCATTTAATAGCCTTCCCCACGCCTGATTATAGAAGTACAGGTACTTATTGTAAAATAATCTAGAAAGCACAGAAAAGCATCAACATTTTGTGGTACCAAATTTCTTACCAGTATTTTTTTCTATGAATATTTTTACATAGTTCAGAACAGACTGTATAATTTTGGATTTGGATCTTCTTTTTTTAACTTCACGCTACAACATGAACATTCTATTAAAATGCTAAGAACATTTTCCTGTGAGAGTGACATCAGCAAGATGGCAGACTAGGAAGCTAGAGGCTCTTCCCCCACAAAGGCAACAGGATAACCATAACATACAGGCCGCATACCTATGTGAGAACTCCAGAGACCCATTGAGAAGTGACCACACCCGAGCCATTGTAAAACCAAGAAGAGTCTAGCAAAAGGAGGGTGCTAGGATATATTAAGAATTCCTACATCTCAAAACATCAAATAACCTAATTAAAAATGGGTAAAGGACATTTTTCCAAAGATGACATACAAATGGTCAAAAAGCATATGAAAGACGCTCATTGCACTAATTATCAGAGAAACTCAAATCAAAACCACCATGAGAAATCACATCACACCCATTAGGATGGTTACCATAAAATATACACAAAATAACAAGAATTGCCAAGGATGTGGAGAAACTGGAACCCTTGGTCCAACTGGTACGATTGTAAAATGGCACCACCACCATGGAAAAGAGCATGGAGGTTCCCCAAAAACTTATACATAGAACCACCATATGATCCAGAGATCCTACTTCTGGGTATATAGTGCAAAGAACTGAAGGCAGAATGTCAAAGGGATATTTGTATACCCGTGCTCATAGCAGCACAATTGACAGAAGCCAAAACGTGGGAGCAAATACCTATTAATGGATGAATAAGCAAAATGTGCTCTATTCACACAGTGGAATTGTATGACAAAAAGTGTCTGAATAAGGGAACATCAGGCAAAACTGAGGATGGGGCACTATACTGAAAATAGTCCTATACTAAAGCATTCACAATAAACTAAGTGAAAGCTTACATACCAAAGGCTGAGATTCTCCCCACTCCACAAGGACCTGGCTCCCAAATCGCAGGTAGGAAGGATGGCATCCACCTGGCAGGCACTAGAAGCTATCTTCTGGAAAGACCAAAGATACCAAAATGTGGGTTATACAATGCAGCAGCCCAGACAGAGCACCAAATAGGGGGGTCTGCATTGACAACACCCCCTCATGCTCAGAGCTTCCAAGCAGACACAAATTTTAACTTCCCATTTTAAAATATAAATGGAAAACCAGGGATCATCAGACATCTGACAAGAGCCCCTAACAATAAAGGAAGAGACCAAAATATGAAAGACAAAAAAAAAAAAAAAAAAAAAGAGGAACCAGAATGTGATGGTGAATTTAATGTGTCAACTTGACTGGGCCTGAGTACCTGACAGCTGGTTGAACATTATTTCTGGGTGTGTCTGAGATGAGATGAGATTAACGCTTGAATCAGTAGACAGTAAATCAGACCGTCGTCCCTGTGTGAGTGGGCCTCATCCAATCTGTTCAAGGCCTGAATAGAATCAAAGGCTGAGTAAGGAAGAATTCGCTCTCTGCTTGACTGTCTTTGACCTGGGACACTAGTCATCTCTGCTCCAGACTCAGACTAAGACTGGACAGTTTCTCAGACCTTCAGACCTAGACTAGAACTACAGCACCTGCTTTCCTGGGTCTCCACCTTGCTGGAGCCTTGGACTTCTCAGCCCCCGTAATTACGTGAGCCTATTCCTTATATCTGTATGTGTAAACATGTGTGTATGTACATACATATATATGTAGTATATATAATATACACACAGCAGGATACATATGTTATATGTATAACATATGTATAAGGCATCCTCTGGTCCCTAGGGGGTAAGAATCTTAGAGGCTGAAATGCCATTTCTAGATTTGTTACAATATTTTAATTCATTTAACTGATGAGGTTTATGTTGCTGCTATTTTAACTTACGAGTTTTAGAAAGGCATTCTGAGGATACTAAAAATACTTTTTTTCCCTTAGGACAAAAGCAGTATATATGCATAGAAATTTCAGAAAAGTATAAAGGAAAAAAGTATCAGCTATAATTGAACCCTGAACTTAAATACTATAACCATTCCTTCATGTGTTTTTTTAAAAAACATCAACTACCTATACTTTTATACTTATTATTAAACATAATTAAAACCAGTCTTCTGTATAGTTTTATATTCCTGCTTACTTATATTATGTAATGAGCATTTTATCTATTTTCAAAAACAAGTTTTAATGACTACACAAAACATTCTAATTTATACTATAATTTATGTAGCCAATCTCTTATTTTCAGACGTCACCATGTCACTGTTCCACGTAGCACTATGGGGAAAATCTTTTTATAGACTTCTGATTATTTTCTTAAATTGGACTCCTAAACGTGGGATTATTGGATTAAAGATTATTCATAGATTTATATAGTTTGCTACGTAATTGTGTTCTAGACCTGCGCTGTCCAATATGGTAGCCACTAACTCTATGTAGCTAGTTACACTTAACTGTAAATGCAAGTTAAAATCAGTTCCTCTTGCACTGGCCACCATAGTTCACAATAGCTGCATATGGCCAGTGGCTACCATATTGGACAATGCTAATAGAGCATTTCCATCATCTCAGAAACTCTTAGTGGAAGGGTAGTCTTAGAGAAGCCACACTTTATGCACCTCCACAGTAGTCTACTCATTTACCAGCAGTGAGTATTACCATTTTTTAAGCTTTCTTCATTTTATAGGGAAGTAGGAGAGTCTTGATTTCATTTAAAATTATTTCTAATTGGAGTTGACTGTTTCCTCAGCACTGGCATTTCCTCTGGGAATTGTGTTATTTCACTTGTCTTGATATTGCTCTGATGGAGCTAGATGTGCTTGAAGATACGCCAGAGGGCCTATGCCTCACAGCCTCATCTCTAGGGTGGGGCCCCAGAACTGAGCGTTTGTTGCCTCTACTGTAAAAATGTGGCTATATTCTTTCCAGACGATGGGGACAATTGCCCCACTCAGGTTTTCCATAGGTTTTATTTGTTTTCTTCCCTCTGGAGTTCTGAGTATTGGTATCTGGTTTCCTAGCTATCTCCTCTGGCTGCGTCCTCCAGTCACAGTGACCTTCCTGTGCCCTGTGCCCACTTGTGCCTACTGGACACCAGCTAATGAAATAACACAAATTTGAGAAGGGCAGAAAGAAAAAGTGAAAAAAAATACCCAATTTTATTTTTGATGGCACACTTGGTTTCAGTAGCAGAACCCAAAGTTTATCTTAAATATTTGCTCCTCAGCAGCAAACATGGTCCTGAAAAACACTCTTGGTCTACATGATTTATTTCACAATTTTTCCTTCCTTGGTTGACAACTGTGAAATAGGGAGCCAGATGCTATCAAATATAACTATGAATAATGTGAGAAGCAAACAAGTGTCCCTGCTGCAGTCCCTTCTCTGCTCTGCCTTCATCTCAAGCAACAGGAAGGAATCCAGAGCCAGAGGGATGAGGATGCACTGGGATATTTTATTTACCCACAGGAAAAAAAAAAAAACAAACAGGCTCCTGGATTGGGATCCGGCATGTATTTATACTGTCCAATATTCCTGGGGGGCTGGCAGACACTTCTGGAGTCTACCACAAACAATGCCTCAGTATGTTGCCCAAATTTAGCTGAAAACAAACTGCCTCTAGTAGGCAAAGTTGAACTGAATGCTGGATAAAATCACCCGTACTTTCTTATCCCCAGTGAGGTCAAGACTGATTTAAACCCAAGCTCAATAACACATCTGTAAGCATTTTCCTTCCTCTTCTGTAAATACAATAAAAGTGCACAGCCTATAACAAAGAGGTCAAAGGGAACAGTTGGCATCAAGTGCCACCTCGTGGTGTCCCATCCAAATTGCAGTCCCTTTCTTGAACCCCAAAGGACCATGGTTTGGAAACATACATCTGAGTCTATATCCCTATAATACATAGTGTTGTAGATGGATATTAATACAATAAAAACTAATTTAAAAAGTATTACAGGAGAGGTTATTTTTGTGGGGAATACAAAGCCAGCATTTAACAGGCACTTGGTAGTAAATAAGGCATTCCCTGCGAGTGCTCTCATTTAATCCTGGCAGAAGCTCTGTGCTGTAGGCACTAGAATCTTAGCTTCAAGGCATGAAGACTGGGGCTCTGAGAAGTGGGTGACTTGTATTGCTCAATCCTGGACTTGAATCCAGATGCTCATACTCTACATCATGTAATATAATCTGTATTATTTCATGGAGCATACACATAATACTACTGTGTTAAAAGTAATATATATACATTGATAGTACTATATAGTATATTGTACATCCTATGTGGCCTAATATATATACCATAAACTATATAAAGCATATGCCACGCAGTAGCTACACCACACTCTATAGTACTAACGCCATTTTCTATAGCACCATTCTGGAGCTCCCGTTTCTGTCTAAGACAAGATAGCTAGGTTCTTGGTATTTTCATTCCACAATGTTGTTGCAATCAGTTTTGCAACTAAAACCACTGTGGCCTTCTGGGTTTCTGGGCATACAAACTGTGGGAAACCCTGTTCCTGTGTGTTTTAATCTGGGGTGGACTGGTGGAGAATGAGCACAAGGACACTGAGGCAGTGGGACTAAAGCCAAGTTTTCAGATCAGACTTTTTGATTTTGCTTGTTAATTTCCTTTGTTTTTTACCCAATTCTCTGGTTAGACCCATTTTGGACTGTATCACCTCATTTGACTAGAAGTCTATTTACAGCCAGTATATTTTAAAGTGGGGCCACTTTAAAATATGCTGAGAAGTTCCTGTGCTCAGCATCAGAGGTGGGCACATCATTAGCCAGCTTTAAAAATCCCACAAGAAGGCTTCTGCCGCTTTTTCTTTATGGGGTAGGAGTAGGGGTCATAACACTCCTGTGAACGGAGACAACTGCTCCTGGCCTCCTTCGCAGCTGGCAAAGGCAGAGAGGCCATTTTTTATGGGCAGGGTCCTCCGGAGCCTGCTTGGCTTTCTTAGTACCGTTCCTGTCTCCGGGGCTCAGCGAACTCCATGGGCGCCTTCTCAGTACATTCACCATTCCACAGAAGAGGCTCACAACGGGCAAAAGATGAATCCCAACTGACTCGTCTAACAAGAACCCACCCACACGTATCCTACTACATGATACCTCCCCACTTTCTACTTAAATATCCTGTTGTTGTCTACTTGGTTATTAAAGTCCAAGTGATACTAGTCAGAGAGAGGACGCGGGAGAAAGGACTGTGGTGGAGGCTGCCCCGCAGAACTGGTAGGGAGGGCTTGCTCTGGTGGAGAAGGCTTTGAAGAGAGAGGCCTGAACCATCACTGGGGAGCCTGGAACAGGGCTTGACCCTGGCTTTGCAAGGTATATCTTCTTTACTAGTTGATTGGGGGGGGAGGGGAGAGGAGACAAAAAACACACACCAGAGAGGGTGAATTCCGCATTACCCATCCGTTTTCCTCTTAGCTAGTATAGCCATCTTCCAGGCCTCAAAGGGGAGAGACTATAGGGAATAACAGACCAGCAAGAGATAAAGGGTTCCTCTTGCTTCTCCTGCTCCACAGGCCCCTTCCAGGAGGCGGAGGCCAAATGTCAGAGTCAGGACCCCCAGCCAGCACAGTCCCACTGCCTGGCCCTCTTCTCTCCAGGAGCCAAGGGCATTTATTCTAACTGCACAGAACTGCTAGGACAATTACCCAGCCCCTCCCCACCGGGAGCCCGCCTCTTCTGATGCAGTTGGGGTTGGGCAGTCCATCGCCCACGTACTCAAAGCAAATGTCCTCATAAACAGCTTTCTGCAAAAAGGGCAACATAAAGGATTCACTTTGGTGAGCAGATGAAAAGAACTCTGGTTTCACTGCATAAGTAATGATAAAAGTCATGAGCTGGGACTGCCTGGGAAACAGGTCAGCAGACCAATTTAAGGATTTCCCCACATTCCAGCATGACAGGAGCTATGTGATTTTGGCCCTGTTAGTCATTTACCCCTCACCACTGCTTCCTCACTTCCCAACAGGGCGTCGGGACGGCCCATCTGCTGTACTCCTGAAGGATAAGGGCGGCCTTCCCCTCTCCCCTGTGCAGGGACTGGCCCAGCGGGGCTCAAGAATCAGGCTGGGAGACACGGTGGCGTCTTTAAACACAGCAAAAGCAGTATTTGTGGAACACAGTCTAGAAGAGGTACATACAAGAATTAAAAAGGAGAAAAATGGGCAAATATGAGGCACTGGAAAAAGAATGGAGAACAATCTTTCTAGCTAAAAACACATATGGATGAGTCATTTTCATCTATTTAACCTCATTTCCCTACTGGCTTACCTGCCATGCTGTCTGGAGACACAGACTCACAAGTATGACGAAAGGCTGTCTGCGTGCTGCAGGCTCTTGTGCTTTCCTTTGTGGGCCTCACAGTGGGACAGCACAGATAAATCATGTGGTGCCATAAAATGTTCTTTACTTTTCAGGCCTTGCAATTTTATTTGTATCTCTATAATACATACTCACACTTGCTACTTTCCATACAAAAATTTTATACATATATATATATATATATATAATCTCATTTTTTAAAAAGTAAAATATACAAAATAGTGACTTTAAATTTTTCCTTCCAAGGGAACCTCAACAAAGGTCAGGACTTGTGAGGCGGCCCAGGGTCACAGGTGTCAGATCTTGGAGACTTTCGGAATTTGCTCTGAAGGAAAACTCTTGGGACACAGAGGCCTTCTTTTTTATTCACCGTCTCACGAAACACATACTCATTCGCCACTTCTTCATAACCAGTATGCATAAAGAGCTGAGCCAGGAATTCTGTAAGATAAGCAGGTCAACAGCATTCAGTCTTGACACCACTGCACCTGCTCTGCAGTAGACAGGAGAAGGCTAGGGGGCTGAGACTGATACTTTTTTCTTGTAACAAGAACTCCAATTTTAATGACATTTTTGTTTTGGAAAGAAACACTATTTCTCATCATCTAAACAGAAAGTCCCAACTAAAGAATTTAGTCAAAGAAGTTTGAGGACTAGCTGGAATGTGCCCACCTTGCCCTACTGCGAGTCCCCGAATAGAACAGTCTGAGGAAGCACAACAAAACCCCAGTGGGGAAACTGATACAAGGTGTGATGTGTTTACATCACTTTGTTTACATCAAGCGCCTCATCCACCCTAGCAGGAAGGAGGGAAATCTGTGAACACAGTGGACAAAAATCACCTGATTCCATGAATCAGAAACATTAAATGAAAATTTTAACTTCCACCTGATATTTTAATGATTTTGCAGTTTTGATGGCAATCACTCATTTTCAGTTTCTTTTAAGAATACTTCATTTCAAGAACTACAAGTGTTTGGTAAAAAACAGCTTAAGAAGGTAGGTAGTTTATAGCCCAGAGTATTAGGCAGGTTTAAAACTAATGTTGGAAGTACTTTAAACACTGAAATCATGGTCAGGTTTTAGATGATTTTCTGAACAAAAGTAACTTTTCAGAGACCCCTATGTAGCAAATGTGTGCATTTGAAAGCACAGTCAACCTTTTTATAGAAAAAGGCTTCTCACCTTTGCGACCAGAGAGGAATCCCAAGGCATCACTGTCCTACCTGCTTACGTGAACCTAGTAAAGGTTCTGACTTGCTCCCCCTGCTCCCCCTTCCAGTCCTCAGTGGGGCACCCATGTGGCTGGTCAGAGGCTGCCTGCACTCACTGACTAGTCACTAGTAGCGGCTGTGAGCTGGCCTTGTCAGGGCTGTTGGTGCGGTCCCAGGGGCTGGTGGGGAGCATGCACTGACAGCCAGTCCCAGGGTCTCTAGAAGGTGTGCCACCCAGCCACCCAGCAGGGCAGAGGGAATGCAGCCAAGCCAGCAAACACAGGCCTGACTCCATTTTTCTTACCGGCAGTGAAAAAATATGATCTGGTTCCATCTTGTCTAACATAGAAGTTTTCTCCAAGTTTGCTGCCGGCTTTAAACCTAAGCATGGCATGATCGTAAAGTCCATAGTCACGAAACAAGACACTTTTGCCTGGTTTCAATACCTACGAAACAAAAGTAGGCTGCACGTAAGTTTGGGGAACCCAGTCAAACAAAGTTTACTATAAAATAAAATGTTAAATGAAGAAACTTAAATTTGCAATACTAAGAAAGGGGCAAGACTGAAACACCCATAAAAGGAAGATGAAATGGCCTGCTACAAAGCACAGCAGACTCAGCGTGGAGCCCCGACACTGGAGGGATGCTTCCTGAGCACTTACAAGAGCCCTCTGGAAAGTCAAATATCATGCAGTGAAAACATGGACATTAAAATGAAAGTCTTTTATTCCTTAAAGTAATTTCTAACATTTTAGTGGCCACCTCCTAGTACTGTCTCTTTAAAAAGCATTGATGTCACTTTGGCTTTCCACTGATTTGGCTGGCTTTCCTCATGCTGTCTCAGCTCTGATTTCACGGTGCTATAATTATGTACAGTTTGCCCACCATGTTAATAACTGATAGGTGCCTGGCACTCTATAGCTTTCCAGACATTTTCTCACTGGATCTTCATCCAATTCTGAGAGGAAGAAAGAAGTTTGTTTATTACCCTGTGAGATGAGGAGACTGACACCAAAAAAGGTAAGCAACTTGCCCGCGATCACACACCAGGCACTAAGTGAGGGCCAGGACGGACACTTAGGTCAAAAGGCTCCACTCTGTAGAATCAGAGCCACTTTTTAGGCTGGCTGGAGTGAGGCATGGACTCTGAGGCCAGCGCAGCAGGGAGGGAGAGCAGGGCCATCCCCAGGGAGGCCCATGCTGAAGGCTTGCACAGGTAGCTTCAGAGCAGCTGTCTCAAAAACTGGAAGGTAAGCCAAGCAGAGTGTGGGTACAACTGCCCTATCTTACAGACCCAACAGCTCCGTGCTTCTCAGAATGGAAACCAAGTGGCAGTCACTTACTTTTTACATGAAAATTCTCTCCAAAACTGCGCACCACTCCCAAGTGGACATCAAAAGAGACATTCATTACATCTTCTTGTGACCCATCACATCAACAAAAAGATTAAGACATATGACATGTACGAGCTATTATATTTTTAATGTAAGTTGATGTAGTTCCTTTTTCTGAATATGAAAAACTGTCCCTAGTACTTTCAAGGGAGCTAGATTTTCTCAATTTCTTGATTCTTATCTAGAGTACTAGCATGCATTTTAAATATTTTCATTAAAGAGCCTCTTGGATAAAAATTCTCACCTTGGCCAGAAATGCTAAGCTTTAAAATGTGAATAGAAGAGGGAAAATTCAAAAAACTTAGTTCATATGAGCAACACTTATTTTTTCATGTCAGAAGGGAAAAAAAGGTCATGTGGGACAGTGGAAGGTTCACTCACTCAGGAATTTGGAACTCTTGATTCAAATCCCAGTTCTTCCATTAGCTAGTTGAGCAAATAACTGCAGCCCTCTGAATGTGTTTTCTCATCTGTAAAATAATAATCATGGTACTAATGCCTCCTCTGCTCACAGATTTACCTGTGAACCAGGTATTTCCCAACCGCATGGATTTTCACTCTCGCAACAACTCCCAGCAGTGGGTAGGCTGGGTCTATAGCACCCGCTGCCAGTGAGGCCGAGTCAGTGACCTGCCTGGGCTCTCAAGGCAGCCGAACATCCAGGTCTTCCAGTAACAGTCAGTCTACTTTTACTTTGCCATTCTATTCCAAACATGAGGGAATTCAACTTTAAGATTGTGTTTTTCAGTTTAAAGTTATGTGGTTTTTACATTCCTTAGACACTAACATCCTGAGGTTATTAGATCTACGTTACAAAGGCTTATCACCATGTTGTTCATGCAAGGCTTCAGAGCCCCCAAAGGGAGTCTTATGGTCAGAGGCTGAGAGATTGCTTCTTCTGGTAATTTCCTGATGAAGTAGATGATTTCAAATTAACAAACCAGTCCCTATGTATGATGGCAATGAGAAGCAATCTCATCACTGCTATGAGTCCATCTAGGCTATCTGAGAAAAGCTTGCTATTGGAGCGTAAAATTAGGAGGACTGCAATGGAATTTGTAACTAAAAAAAGGTCACATCAGAGAGCAGATGTGGACTGGGACAGCTCATGTCAATCTTTTTCTTTTTTAATATCCACATTTCGTAACTATTAGAGTAAAACACCTAAATCAAGAATAAGCATATCCTCAGTACCTGGCTTTATCAGACTTCTTAATCTTGTTAATGGTGTCTCACTATAGTTTTACTTTCAAGTTCTTGGATTGCTGAATAGGTTATCTTTTCATGTTAACTCAATATTTGAGCATTTTCTTCTATAACATGTCTGTGTCTGTCCATTTTTTCTATTAACTTGTCCTTATTCATACAAAGGAATTCCTTATATATTCTGGATATTTTTTTGTCAGTTTTATAGATTTTAAATTACTTTTCCTAACTTGTCTTTCTAATTTGTCTTTAAGAACAGAAACTCTTAATTTTATTAACATCTTTGTGCTTGGAACATTTTGGGTCATCTTCCAGAAAGATTTCACTACTCTGAAGTCAAAGATATTCTTTTGAAAAACTCAAACTTTTGCTTTTTCCATTTAAGTCATGAATTCACCCAAGAATGATTTTTGTTCTGGCTGTGAAGTAGGAACACAACTTCATTTTTCTCCATGTGGCCACCGATCATTTATTGAGCAGTCCTTCTTTTCCCAGTGATCTTCAGGTCACCTCGATCACATACCAAATTTCCAAATATCATGGGTCTATTTTTAAGCTCCCTATCACATTTGCCAATTTGTCCCTCTGCCAATACCATTCTGTCTTAATTACGGTAGCTTTACTAACTCTTTATATCTGGAAGGGCATAAATTTCCCTACCTCATTCTTCTTCAGGAATGGTTTGATCCTTTGTTCTTTCATATAAATTTAGAATCAAGTTATCAATTTCCTCAAAAAGAAAAAAAGCCTACCAAAAATACCTCAAAAACAATAAAAAAAAAAAAAATCTTGAGATTTTGTTGTAATTGCACAGTTCAACTAGGAAAAAAATCAATCATCCTTATATTATCTATTAATGAACACAGTAGTGCCCTCTATATAAATTTTCTTTAAAGTTGCTTAATAGTTATATCTAATTTACTACATGTAATTTACTATAGGCCTTACACATCTGTTAGACTTATTACCAGGTACCTTTTATTTTTATATTGCTATTCAGAAAGCTTTCCTTTTAAAGTTATACTTTCATTGTATATTAATTTTTATATATTTATATCCAGCCTCTTTAACTCTTATTATTTATTCTGTGGCTAAGTTACAGGGAAACTTTTATTACAAAACAGATTTGGCCTCCACACATTATTTGCTGGCCCCTAACAGAACAGAACACAATAGTCAAAACAAAAGAACTACAGGAACACAATAAAATGGGTGAATATTAAATTGTTAAATGGAAAAGTAAGACTGCACTGTATGCTCCTTTTTAAGTGCAGAGTTCCATGGCATTAAGTACATTCATTTTATGCTTTTGTAATTCTTTTAACAGTTTCTAATTAGACAACTATATTATCTGCAGTAATGAGTTTTCTTTCTTTCCTTTTCATCCTTAAACCTTTCATTTCTTTTTCTCGTCTTCAGTAGAATGTGGAATGAGGTACTGAGCTTGGACGTTCTCATCCCCATAAAGTAGGAGATATTCCCACTCTGTCCCCATCTCCTCCTCCCCAACATCCCCCGCCCTCCCTCCAAGGCCCCCTCACACTCAGGTGCTGGCAGAGACCTGACTGTCCTGTGAGGACACCACTTCCCCTGCAACTTCTCAAGTCATGTCTGTTTTCTGCCATGGCCCTTGGACCCCTGGGCGTGGCGATGGGCAGGTATCCTGCTTGCTCCTGATTACTACGTTCTGTGCATTCCCTTTTCCCCTCCCTAAGCCCTCCAGCTCAGAATCCCTTGTCATCAGATTTAGGCCGCTCATTACCCCTTACTTTTCCTGTCATCTCTTAGTTTCAGGGTAATTCCTGCCATTTGATGATGAATATGCCTTTTAGTTTACTGTGTTATCCTCAATACCACAACACTTTTTAAAAAAATTATTTATTTATGCATATAAGAGCTGGGGTACAGGCCAGAGATGCAGGAGGTGAGTGAGAGGATCCACCAGAGACAGAGCGGGGAACAGAACAGGCAGACTGACTGAAATACACTGCTGAGGGGAGCAGCGGGCAAGACAGGAGAGGTCTGCTGCACCATGTGGGTTGCTCCCTGGCTGGCCGGGGATCAACTCGTGCTGCAGAGGCTGCGGATTGCTTCATAGTGCCGTGCTTAACCCCTTGCGCCACCAGGGAGGCCCAATACTTCAGTACTCTTAACTCTGGTCAATTTCAATATAAATGTGGATTATCCTTCCACATTTATATTGACCCCTTAATGACCACTTAAAGACTTCAGCTTCTCTTTTCCAAAAAACTTGTCCTCCGTGCTACCTAAACCACTAATTCCCATGTTAATGTCCTAATTCCTTGTCACCATTAAAAAGTATATAACCCCATCCATACTATAAATGTCATACAAGTTACTCTCTGACCGCCCCGATCCCACCCACTTTTCAGCTTTCTCTAGTTTTTGTCTTTAGTAATCCCTCACCTCACCTGGACCTTCAAAGCAGGTAATCCTGCCACCTTCTCCCTGATGCCTTCTCTGTCCTCTCTACTCCATTTAAGCTCCATGTCCATTTGTGGGTATGTGCTGGGTTCCCAGCTGCTCATAGATCAGGCATAGGAAATGGGAGGTAAGGACACTAATCCTAACAAGGCCTCATAAGCAGGGGGCTAGAAGCAGCATGGCAATCTCTAAATTTTAAAAAATGTTTTATGAAGAATGATTTTTTTCCTAACAGATTTCTGTTAGGAAACATTCCTACCTCATTATTCTGTTAAAACAATTCAAGCCAGGATTAAAATTTAACATTAGTTTTAAATACAGACACTCCCTTACCTAACATCTACGTTTTCAACTTGCGGGATATGTTCCTTTCCCTCTATGGAGGGAGCTGACTGAAAAGCCCATGACTCACAGAACAGGTGAGGCTCACAGGCCTGCTACATCGTGCTCCAGTGTCCCAAGTGAGCTGCAGGCTTATCATCAGTCAATTGCGAGGGGAGCAGTGGGCAAGACAGGAGAGGTCTGTAGTGCCATGTGGGTCAGCTCCTTGGCAGGGGATCAAACTCATGCTGCAGTGGCTGGCAATAGCTTGATAGTATTGAGACTTAACCCCTTGCACCACCAGAGAGGCCCTTACTGCACTCTTAAAGAAACCCAAACTATTATGTGTATGGTTCTTTTAAGAAAGATGATCAATGACCTCATACTCAAAGACAAGGTCCTTAGCCCTACATTAAAATGGTGATGAATAAATATTAATATACTTTAAATTGCAAAAAAAAAAGTGTTTTAGGTAAGTACCAATTTTAATTTATTGAGTTGATTTTTTAATGAATCAAATCACCATGCTTGTATAGATAAAAGAGCTTCTACCAAAGTTTATAAAGCACCCTCATATATCACTGCAACTCTCATTGACTCTGTGAGACACCCCATTTGACAGACAAGAAAACTGAGGCTTAGGAATGGTAGATGAGGTGGCTTGTGTTGAGTCACATGACTGCAAGTGAGCTTTCCTTCCTGAGTGCCACCGCAGCCCCTGTTGACCATCACTGCTTAGTTTCTCCCACTGTAATAACTACAGTGGTAGCAACAATAACAACAGCTGACTTTTAAAGACTACTTGCCATGTTCTAGGCTAAGCACTTTAAAATGATCTCATACAATCGCCCCCAAGCCCTAGGTCTAGGAACTATTACAACTCTACCTTTATAAGTAGTGACCCTGAGGCTGGGAGGGGTAAAGGTGCCTCCATGGGGAAACCAGGTTTTGACTCTGATTCCACACTGTCCTTTAACACTGAACCACCTCCTCTCACTTCACAGCAGGAATCCACAGATCCCGGATAACCACAAAATCCTCCTTACTCCAAGGCTGGCCTGCCTTGGGAGAACAGTGACAGACACCACATAAATCAGGTGGGTGGGTTTTTTTTTTGCCAGAGAGACCTTTCCACACTGACTCCACATCATAGTTAACGGGACCAGGGAGGCTCTGAATCTGGACAGAACATGAGCCTCAGAGGAAAGGAACAGATCAGGTGTGACACACAAGTACAGGCTACAAAGCACTAACCTTGTAGATGTTTTGTAAGACAAGTTGCATCTTATCAGGGTGAACAGCAGAGAGCATGAATATCAACATGACAACATCCACAGACTCCGGGGGCAAATGTTCCAGAAGGTCATCTTTAGTCAGATCACACTGGAACACCTTGCATCTTTCTGTGTTATATAAAGGATTTTGCTAGAGAAAGGACAAACAAAAGAATTTTAACACAACATCCATGTTGTTACACATAGGAAAATACAGCTAAAAAGGAAATCCTATTTCCACTTGTGTCCTGATACACAGAAATGAACAATCACTTTGTTACAGGGCAAAATGGAATAGTGAACCATCTGTACAATCAAGTATGCAATATTCAATATTACTATTAGGGGCACGATTTCATTTTAACAAATCATTTTTAACTGAGGAAAAAACATGGTCTAGCACATATTCAAAACTTAGCATTTCTGAAGAATATATTTCCAGGGGGATGATAAGCTAAAACTGGTCTCTGTTTCCTTAATTCTCCTTTGAATCATCCACTACAAACCTAGAACTTCCTAAGAGAAGTCCTTCCAGCTCCACTTATTAACATGATCCCACAGTTCTTCTGGGCTGTATTTTCTCTTAATGTAGCAAGCTAAATAGCCCTAACATGATTTTTTTACTTTAGGTGTGTTCCTGGTATATTTCTGTTGATGGGTTTATTAGATAAATATAAGGGCTTTATGCAGAAAAATATTAAACTTTTCTCTAATGTAGATGAAGATGTAAATAGAGAAATACAAAGTTATTAGATGTGAAGTCTCAAAATTTAAAAGGTTATCACTTCTATCTTTAAACCCATTTATGAACGCAATGGCATCTCAACCAAATCCTAATAAATTTCTAGAAACATGACAAGGTGAATCTCATCATCTGGAAGCAAAACCCCTCAGGAATATCAAAGTCAGGTTTTTTTGTTTTTGTTTTTGCTTTTTTGGTGGGACCCTTGTCGGCGGCCGGGGAACGAACTGGCACTGCAGAGGCTGTGGGCAGCTTCGCAGCCCAGTGCTCAACCGCTGCGCCACCAAGGGAGGCCCTCAAAGTCAGTTTTTCTAAAAAAAGAACAATGAAGGAGGCGGCGAACTAATGGATAGCAAAGCATTTCCCAAAATGTAGTACCAAAATAATGTGGTTTCAGGATGGACAAATAGATTACTGAGACAGAACAGAGTCGCAAAACAGACCCACAGATATAGAGGAATTGTCTATGACAACAGAAAAGTGACAAAAATGACAACTAGATAAAAAAGCTAGACTGTGAAAGAGACAATTACCAGGAAGTGAAAATGAATTTCTCATTCAATTTACAGTACTTGCACAACTAGTCATCTACTCATGTAAAAGAACACTGGTATGTTTCAGGTCAGATGCACAGAGGTGGAAAGATGTTCTCATCCTTACAAGAAAAAGTTGGACAGCAGGAAAGAAATGATTTTTCTATGAACCCATCAAAGAACAACCAGTCATTCCCAAATCTGAAGAGGTACCTTCAGGGAGAGACAAAGGACTCATGCATATGCTGAATTGAGGCAAATGCCTCCAATCTGGAAAGATTAAACTAGAAATTTGACAAATTGCTGGAGTTTGTATGTGGGGTTTACAGCATGAAGCTCCTGAGGGCTGAAGTCATATGTGGCCCTCCCACATTTTGCACCTCCTGATAAGTATATATGGAATAAAGGAACTCATGAGCAGATGAAAAACTAATATCTAGTTACATATCACAAAGACTTCAATCTCACTGGTTATAAGGAATAAACAAAATAGAGATATTTGTTGCCCATGATTGGTAGATGGATATGTACTACTACAAAAGACTTTGTAAGATGTTATATAGTGAAGAAAGCAAGTAAAAGTACAATGTGATGGCACTATTAAAATGAAAGTCAAATGGAAGCAAAAACCGTAAGTGAATGGAAGACAAGACCTATGCATTTGCCAAAGGATCCCCCACATATTTGTTAATGACAAAAAGGAAATATGGTCACTACCTCTCCCCTGTGATCTAAACTAGCATCATTTATAGTGAGATTGTCAGACATTATTGCCTCCTGATAGGATACAATGTGAAAGAGACAATAGCATCCACTAAAATATTTTTGGCAAAAATATCTTACCTAATTTAAATCTAATTTCTAGTTTACAAAACTTACAGGAAATAGAGGAATAAGTTAAGTGAAGACATAAAGAAATAACCAGACCAATTTGGAATGTGGAAACTTACCGCAAATGGCTTGCTCTCTAACACTCAAGGTCGAGGGGTAGGGCAGATTATTTGAGACTTCAAGTACATATTGTGTAAGACGTGGTCCTTGATTAGAGACACCTATTAAAGACACCTGAACTATTCAGGAAATTTGAATCTCAAGTGGGTATTGATGACATTAGGGGATAACAGTCATTTCTGTCAGATATAGTAAGTGTACTCTGGTCATAGAAAATGTTCTGAGTTTTTGAAGATTTATGCAGACATATCTAGTAGTGAAGTGTCCTGACATCCATAATTTATCTTAAGAAAGTTCTTAAGAAAGAAATGTCTATAAAGCAAATGCGGCAAAATGTTGCATTATATCTGGGTATAGGTACATGGATGTTGGTATGTCATTTGTTCATACTTCTCTAATTAAAGATGTGTTGGATTAGCATTTTATATATGTATGTAACATGGAAACAGGAAAATGACACTCATGGTTGTTATAGTTGGTTAGTGTCAAGGACAGGGAAAGGTCAAGGATGAGCACATGGACAGAGGGAACAGGTCAAACAAGTCTAAGAAAATAAAAAACAACCACGAAAATGGAAACACAGCACGACGCATGGATGGTGTACCAACCTGGACATATTCAACAGCTCTTGGAGAAAAATCACAGGCATAGGCGAAGATATTCTGATCTTCTTCTAAAAGCGGGAATAAACAGTTCCCAACACCACAGCCAGCTTCAAGTATAGTCAACTTTTGATCTTCAAACTGAGGGAAGAGAAACCAAAGTATACTACCTTTGTGTGCTAAAGAAACAAACCAGGCTAAAAGATCCAGAACATGGAGTAGCAAATAAACAAGAGAATACCTAAAAGCTAAAACTGATACTGCATTAATCATCCAACACTGCGTAGTCTGGTGTGGAGAAAACACAGTATAATGGCTAACATAAGAGACTCAAGGCTAAACTGCCAGCTCGCACATCGGGACACTTCAACCTATAAGTGTGGATAATAGTAATGCCGACTTTATAGTATTATAAGGCTTAAATTACAGAACACAAAGTTCTAGAAAAGGGCAATGGTAAAGTGTGTTTCATTATTATTATGAATACCTTAATCTATCACTGAATTCACTCAGTATGAACTTAACATTTACAACATCCAGATTAGCTTTAAAGAAATAAAAAATGCCACTAAGTTCTCTCTATTTATTAGATGACCCAGGAAATGCTAACACTACTTGAGGCCAGTTTCTCTCTAAGGCAGGAAGCATTTTGACAGGTTTTTAAATTCTCCACTTCACACTCCCCATAAGAATGCAATAAGGCAGCCCTCCTTCACACATTTTAAATAAAGAACAACTTAAATAAGGTAACACTGGCTTACCTCTCTACATGATCTTAGCTCCTCAAACTCTCTGGTGGTCCAGTGTCTATCTTTGAAAAAATTGGTACTATTTCTTTTGTAAAAAAGGTCCCAGTTCTTTTGAGCCTCTTTTTCCAGTTTTTGTTGTTTAAAATCAGACACTAAAGCTTGGTCTCTTTTCAGTTTCTCCTCTTCTTCAGAGCTGAGAATCCTGGACTGCAGCCCTTTCCTCTGCAGAGAAACCATCTCATAAGCCAATGGTAATATACTGAGCACTGCGGAAGACTGGCTAACCTAAGAATTCCAAGTGATGTAGAGGCCTGGTGGGTTTCCAGACAGGTGGTTCCTCAGGTTAGGCAGCATTTGGTGCTTTGCAGGAAAAAGAATGAGATTCTGGTTAGTGGTTCTAAGTCAGTTCTTTAAGAAGCTGGGTTAGGGTTCTAGCACAGTTCTTTCACCCACATTTACTAGAGGCTGAGTCTACACAAAGCCCCACCCATATGCGAGGAGAGGTCACAAAGAAGCCTCAGACACTCTCCCTACCTTCACTGGGCTGACATTCAGTGGAGGAGGCTCATGCACCGAATCCTAATTCCAACCAAAATAATAACATAATAATAATAATTTCAGAAAAAGGGCACTCCCAAGAATTGGTTGAGAAATCGTGGGGGAGAAAATACTAAAGTTCGGTGCCCGTGAAAGGGGTGACTTAAAAACAAACATTAACAGTTGCCAGAACTGGAGGCGGGGGGGGGGGGGGGGGGGGGGGTCACCTGCCAGACAAAAGAGGGGCTATACTTTCCCAAGGATCACAGATCCCCTTCTCTTTCTCATGGAGATGGCGCTTAGCCTGGGGGGTCCGAGTCTCTAACCACACTCCCAAGAGGTGGTAGCACGAACCAGAGGGGGCGTCGCTTTCCAGGAACTGAGGGTGCCGCCATCTCGGCACGAAAGGGCAGAGAGACGCAGTCCCGGGTGGAGCAGGGTCCCGGGGAGCCCCCCGGGTCAGGACCCTCGAGAAGCCCCAGGCCGCGCCGGCCCCCAGGGCCCGGGGACAGCCGGCCGGGCGAGCCGCCGGACCTGTGTTACACTGGCCCGCGCGCTCGGGGCTCACCGTCATCAATTCCCCGGTTCACCCAGAGAGGCAGGGCCGGGCGCACTCAGCCCTCGGCCAGGCCCAGGCCCTGGAAGCAGAATTTGGGCGCCACCGCGGGGAAACCCCGAGGCCAGGGGCCAGTCAGCCTCGCGGACCTCGACGAGGGAGTCTCCCGGCGGAATTCTTTTGCCATGGCACCGCCCCCGCCACTTCCGCCCCGGACGCAGCAGTCCCTCCCCGACGCCGGAAGTGCCTCGGCCTTGCTTCCGCTGAGTCTTCCCCCACCCCGACGCGGAGGGGAGGACTTGCTTCCGGCCCCGGGTGGGCGCCGGCTCCGCTCCCCGTGCGTTCCGGAGCGGTGCCCCGGGAGCATCGTTCTCCCGGACGCCGGCGCCGGGGGCTCGGGCCGCGCCAGGACTGCGCCGGTCCGGACGCGAGGCCCGGGCGGGGCCATGAACGGGACCGCGAACCCGCTGCTGGACCGCGAGGAACACTGCCTGCGGCTCGGGGAGAGCTTCGAGAAGCGGCCGCGGACCTCCTTCCACACCATTCGCTGTAAGTGGGCGCCCCCCGCGCCTCCCCGCGGGCCAGGCCCGCGCCCCTCCTCGCGCCCCCCGACGGCCTGAAGCCCGGGGGACCCCTTGCCGGCGCCGGCTGCCTTGTCTTTGACCCCGAATCCTACGGAGCGTCCATGTCCCACCCCGCCTTTCCATTCTTTATGCCTCCCAAGCCAGAACCTGCGGCTCAGCGCTTCTGCCTCATGGTTCCAGACGCTTCTACCCAAAAGTCAATGGGTCCCTTTATCTTTGCATCTCCCCACCCACCCTTCATTATGCCACATCCACCCTCTCTTGAATACAGAAGAGACCGCCTTTAGTGCAGGCGAGACCACCTCAGCTCTAACCCACCCTTCTGACTGACCCATTAGGGTCCACGTTTAAAGGGCTTCCCTTTGCTCGTGGCTTCAGCTACTCCCACCGATTCCTTTCTTTGCCCTGTTTTCCTAAGCTGGCTTCTCTCAGCCGTCTTGGCTCTGACCACCCGGACACTGAGCTTCACCTCTTTTTGCAGCTAAAGAATTCACATCTCTGCACCCATCAGTCTCCCTTCATCTTTCTGTGCCTCGTTTGACTTGGATGTTTCTTGGAGTCACCTATGCCACACTGACATTTTCTTAAAACCAAAGCCCTAGTGGATGAAGAATAAAAATTAGACTGTTTGAACCTGGAATAAGTTAAAGCTGGGTCTGTGTTTAGAGGCGAAATAGATTAGGCAGAGGAATGTTGAAGTAGTTATTACCATGGAGCTGCTTTTTCTGTATGATTACAGACCCTGTTGAGGGAGGACTCCCTCACTATGCTCACTCTTATGTCCTGGACAAAGATTGGGCTGTTGGGAATTGGCTGACGGAGCATCCCTCTGTGATTCACAAACTCCTGGTTTCCGGTCTTGGTAGTGCTAATGCTGGTTAAGACTTGTTTTTCTCAGAGGAGCTAATAGATGTGACTCAACACATTGCAGGAGGGTGTGTTATATAATGAAGTTCCATCTCTGCGTGGTCACCTGCAATGCCATTACTGAGCTGCTACTGACAGCAGACCTAGCTCATTCAAGAGCAAGATGTTGAGAATGTGATAAGAACATCATTTCCTGAGCATTTTTGCTAAGTTGCTGCTTTAGTGGGATGAAGGGCAATGTGAAGTTCATTTTAAGGAGACACTTCATGTATGCACCTGGCCTACAGTGTGAGGCAGGTGTGTGATAAAAGGAGGTAAGATGGCTGTTTTTGCTGTACTTTTACTGAACTTCAGAAACATAGGCAGGATTAACCTTTAGAGACGTAGTCAGCCCTCTGCTCTGAACAGCTACAGAAGTGTCTTTTTGAAGCTATGGAACTGGAGCATGGCAAATCCTGTGCAGAATGAAATCAGCAAATATGTGTATATATGTATAATATATATGCGCATATCTGTGGCTGTTCATACAGTCAGAATTCTTTTCATATGTTCTCTTGTCCATATTTCATAGTGTTTTACAGTCAGAATTCTTTTCATATGTTCTCTTGCTTTTGATCCTCGCAACAACCCTAATAAAGCATCATATTGTGAATAAGAAGGCTTTAGTTTTCAGAGAAGGGCATGTCTATACTGAATAAAATGGTATAAGGTCTAGTTTTTGATTTTGTTTTTTTTTACAAAATACTCCAGTGTGGGTGGGAGGGAAAGTGTGTGGAGGGATAGCTAAAACAAGATTGTCCTTGAGAGAGCAATATGGAAGCTAGGTTTATGGTACATAGGGCTTCATTGTCTGCTTTTGTGTGAAGTTGTCCACAATGAAATTGTTTTGAAAACACCCTAAATTATTTTATTTGCCATTTATCTGAATAATTAAAAAAAAAAAAATTCTTGTGCGAATGCCCAGAAAACCCTTAGTATAGTAACGTGCATTTTTCTTTTCCTTCAGATGACTTTAAGCCAGCATCTATAGATACTTCCTGTGAAGGAGAGCTTCAGGTTGGCAAAGGAGACGAAGTCACAATTACACTGCCGCACATCCCTGTAAGTTTATTCCACTGTTGTTTTTTTCATGTGTAACCACAATGAATCCTCATATTTCATGCCATTTCAATTTCCTACTTTTTAGAAGTTTGTAGATTTTAGAAAGCCAACAGAAAAAAAAAAAGGGGACTTTGGGGGATGGGTTGAAATTGTGTTTCCCAGGTGCTTGATTAAAAAGGATTCTTTGCAGTGTTCCCCAGGTTGCCTTTACCACCGAGTAAACAGGGTTCTTAAATGGACCCCTAGCAACGTTTAAACTTGCTTTGCTTGCCTTCCTGCAACTCCGGAGACAAGCCCTCAGTGCCATGCTCATAAAACAGCAGCTGTCTAATAGTGTGGGGCAGCCAAGCCGGAGTGCAGGCAGGAGCTGAATTGGCATCTTATATCTGGTAAGGGGTCAAGAGCAGGCCGGTACTTTTAAGCAAGAACCAGAGGTTCAGAGCATTCAGCCAGTTGAGGGACGAGGGACCCAGTTCAAAGCTGAATTGAGAACCCTTGCAGAGGGAGACTGCTATGAAGCCTCACCCAAGAAAGCACTGATCATGAAGCCAGAAGGATCAAACAAAATATGCTTAGTGTACGTGTCATTGTGTGTCACAGCCATAGCCTGGGACATTTTAAGGTCCTGGTGACCAGTGATAGAATGATACTGCTCTGGGCAGCGAGTCCTGGGAAGCTTTATGCGGAGGAAAATTACTTGTCTGTCAGTTTAGACTACTAGTTCATTACGCCTTGCCTTTGGCAGGTTACATCATCTCTCTTTGGACCTTAATTTCCCCAATGTAAAGTGAAGGTGTTGGATAGATGGTCTCTAAGGTTCCCTACAACGCCAGAGCCTTTTTTAACTCTATAGAAGGGATCCAACCTTATATTTGTAACTACTGACTACCTGCTGTGTGTTGGCACACTGCTAGGCTGAGAATAGTCTTGAACAGAATCACATTTCTTGCCCTTTGGAACTTGTGTCTGGATTTAAAATAAGTATAAAAAAAAAAACAGCACTTGTTTTAGAAAATTAGGGAGGGCTTCTGTAAGGAAATGACCTTTGAGCATATTTGAAGGTTGAGTAATTGAAAGAGGGAGAGGTAGGGCGTTACATGTAGAAGCCTTGTTAAAGCCTTGCAAGAAAGAACCCGAGGATCTGAGAGAAGGCTGGTCAGTCACTTTCTATTCTGGAGTCCATCCAGCACAGGGGTGGGTGGTGCATAATAGGCTAAAGGACCAAGTTTTAAGAATTTATTCTTAAAGGACCAAGGTTTAAAGAATTTATTCTTTGACCTCAGAGCATCAGCGCAGCAGTTGAAGGCTTAGGCAGGTGAGTGGTGTGATGTATTTACTTCGAGCTAACCAGAATAATGAGCTGCCCCTGGAGAGTGCTCTGATGGTTGGTTCGTTTGGGGGAGAAGCCAGGCACTCTCCCAATTATGAGGAAATATGGAGATCAGTCACCTGTTCTACCTCTCATGATGAAAGCGCTACTGAGTGTAATGCAAGGAATAGTTCAATCATTTTTCTCAGTCCATACTTCACCATTATTTAGAACATTTTCTGACTCTAGAAAAATGTACAGTAATTACAGACATTTATAGTACCTTTCTTGGTTACTTATAACCAGTCAGATAATCACAGACATCTGCATTATTATTATTTCTGTTTAGTTTTACCTGAGACGCCAGAGGGGTTAAAATAGAAATCATTTCATTGTGTTTTTTTCAAGTAGCTCTGATAAAAGATAAGATAGAGTTTCTTGTAAATCCAGTCTGGATACGCATACTGGTGTGTTGAGTTTGATTGTCTGATACTTTTCTGGCATATAGGGATCCACACCACCAATGACTGTGTTTAAGGGGAACAAACGACCGTATCAGAAAGACTGTGTGCTTATTATCAATCATGACACCGGTGAATATGTTCTGGAAAAACTCAGTAGCAGCATTCAGGTCAAGAAAACAAGGTATGTGAATAACCAGATGTGGTTTTTCTATACCTTTGTGTTTGTTATCTATTGTTATAAAGATGTGAGCAGCTCCACTGTTTTCTTAGACATATTAACAAGTTGTTAACTCCTTCAAATACAATGAAAAATGATGCTTTGAAAACATGAAACATGGAAACCAAACTTGGGGAAAGGGGTGTTGTGCTTCATAAAGAAATCAATTTTAGGGCCTCCCTGGTGGCACACGGGTTTAAGTCTCAGCACTATCAAGCTAGCACCAGGCATAGCAACATGAGTTTAATCCCTGGCCAGGGAGCTAACCCACATGGCTCAGCAGACCTCTCCTGTCTCGCCCGCTGCCCCCCTCAGCAGTATATTGCAGTTAATCTGCATGTTCTGCTCCCCACTCTGTCTCTAATGAATCCTCCTCCCCGCCAGCTCCTCTGACCTACACCCCAGCTCTCGTATGTATAAATAAATAAAAAATAAATCTCTTTTTTTAATAAAGGAATCAATTGTATTAACCTTGAGATTGTTGATACAATACCACCTAAGGAAAAAGATTTAAATTTGCAGATGTAATTATGAAAGAATAATTGAATTATGTGTTTTTTATTAGAGTGGAAACAGGATTTTAACAAGATTATCTTTGGGGTTATTATAATTCCAAAATAAAGCTTTATCTATTTTTTGAATAGTGAGCTCTTTTCAGTATTTAATTCAACTGGCATTACATGTCTAATATGAATTCAGATTTTATTTTGAAATTGAAAATTCTATAAATAATGGATTTGTTCTAATTGTTGCAGTGCAACACAATTATTGTAGTATAACCAAATTTTAAAGTGTTACAGTGCGATTTTTTTCTGTTTATGCTTCAGTTCATCCATTCCACAAAAATTATAAAGATCCACTGAGAGATTGTTGTGTGCCAGGCTCTATGTTAGATGATGTTGTTGTTGTTTTTAAAGATTTATTTATTTATACAAGAACTGGGGTACAGGCCAGAGGCGCGGGAGGGTGAGAGAATTTACCAGAGACAGAACAGGGAGCAGAGCAGGCAGACAGACTGAAGACATTGCTGAGGGGAAGCAGGGGAGGTCTGCCACACCATGTGGGATTCTCACCCACCAGCCGGAAATCGAACCCGCACTGCAGAGGCTGCGGAAGCTCCACAGCGCGGTGCTCAACCTGCTGCGCCACCGGGGAGGTCCACTATGCTAGACGTTTGATGTGCATTACCTAATATTTACAAGTCACTTTTGGAAAGGTTCTATTGCTAGCTTTTAACAAAAAGGGTCGTGGGGGAATCCCAACTTGATAAAAAGACTGAGGATTAGTGAAATTGTGATTCACCTAGGTTCTGCAGGAGCAGAGCTCTGTCCCAGGGGTCTGCTGTGGAGCCCCTGTGCCTCTTTAGCTGGGTGTGTTTGTATCATTCACCTTCACCAACCAGGGGCTGCTTTACTCCCCCAGTTGCTGATGGTTGCAGTCTATTGTATTCCTCAGAATTATCTGGGGACTAGCAGCATTTTATAAATGCTGATGCTTGTTAAAGGTAAAATTTCAGCACCTACTAAATCAGAATCCGCCTTTTTAAAGAGATCTCCAGGTGATTTGTATGCATATTAATGTTTAAAAAGTGCTGGACTGTCCATTTGCAAGAGAAATTCTTAAGGGTAGAATTTTTTCAGTTTGAGATGGAATTCTGCTTGTCTGCCAGCAAGAGTTGGCATGGAGCAAATGAGCAAGCAGCAAATTGATAGCACGAAATTTTGTAAATTGGCTATTATTTGAAGAGCTATTTTATTTAGTAACTCACACACTTGTGATTCTAACTTTGTATTGTACACAGATAGTCATCTACTAGTAAAACGGGTTCTCATAATCATATTATACCCTGCGTATGTGTTTTGTCTGCTTTTTGCTTACATCAAGTCTTGAAGACAGCACCTCTGTTTTACTTATTTCTGTACCACTGGTGCATAATGCAGTACTGAAATAAAGTAGAGAGCTGTCAAATGAGTAGTTCATGTGATAAAATTGCAAATATATCAGTATTTTGAAGCAATCTGTCTGGGGTTCTGCAGAGAGTGGTATTTGATCACCTGGACAGATTTGAGAACCACTGTTTGCCCCTCCAAGTTAATGTGTGTACCTCTCATTTCAGAGCTGAAGGGAGCAGTAAAATCCAAGCCAGAATGGAACAGCAGCCCACTCGTCCCCCGCAGCCACCACAGCCACCTCCACCTCCACCTCCACCTCCACCACCACCTATGCCATTCAGAGCTCCAACGAAGCCTCCAGTTGGACCCAAAACTTCTCCCTTGAAAGATAATCCCTCACCTGAACCTCAGCTGGATGACATCAAACGAGGTAGAGAACATTTCAGGAGCCATGATAGCAACTTGTAGTGGGATGTTAATGTTTTTGTGGTGATCACAGGGCTGCCATGTTGACATGGTGGCACAGGTATTCTCTGCCATTGAAAACATTTCTGCAGCGCTAACCTTCCCTGAGGGGATGAAGGTAGGAACTTGTATTTATTTTGTTTGACAAGGGGTGGTCCAGAAATAGTGACCTGCTCAGAGACCCAGAATTTTAACAAGTGTGACGCCATCTGATGGTCCACATAGCATTCCTTCAGGCTTGGGAGAGAGAAAATTCCAAGGTGTTGGGGATCAGAACCAAGTGTGCCGATTTTAGCATAAAGGTTAAAGGGACATTAAAATGAAACGACCAATGCTTGCATTGACACGCAGTGTGTAAATGTCAACACGCCATGAGGACCAGCGGTAGTGGACACTAGCCCAGAAAGGCCCAGCATCTGGGCACACTCTCCAGTGCCCACCTGAGACCAGCTTACCTTGGCTTTCTCCCCAGTTTACCTTGGCTTTCTTTTCAGAGTGTTAGGATGTTACGAGTGTGTCATTTTATATTTGTAAAATCTTACACAATAAAATGAAATCCATAATAATAGTGAACAGGAAAAGATGAAGAGTTGTCCTTGAGTCATTTGCCGTTTCCACTTACACAAATGTCATTTTAGCAAATGAACTCTCTGCACAGTGTACAGTATTAATACGTTTTTCTTTTGGGTAGTGAAATGCTGTGTATGGAAGTTTTCACTTAAATTGAACCGTGAGTTAGTTGTCAGTTATGCTTAAAAGAATGATGCTTTTTAAGGCCACATGTTATGTCTGCACAGGAAAATCGGGCATCTTCTTGATGTCTCACTCTGCTATATCCTTAATATATTCATTGATGCTGACCTGCTTCACATCTGAAAAAAGTGCAGTACTGACAAGCATGGCTGTCATCAAATATCGAGAGGGGAGACTTAAATGAAAACATCGTTTCACCATTTTTCTTCAGTCTCGAGCTTCCTCCTGCAAGTCTCCATTTATTCATGGAGCTAAAAAGAACCTCAGGGGATGTCTGTTGTGGCCCAGCATTTCTTCACAGTATCTTGAAAAATTTGTCAGTTTCTACCTGGGGCTCACTGTTGATTAGAGGTAGACCTAAATTAAGCACTCAGACTGATTCCTAGTCCAATTATTTTTTTAATCCTCTACCATAATATTTTTCTTTTATTTGGCGTTTAATGCCATAACTCATAAAGCAGATAAAGCAGATAAAATCAAAGTAGACTTCAGTTATTTCTTACACAGAATCATCATTATCCCGAAACAGTTTGCTTTGTTTATTTTGGGTGGATTTAAAGTTTCCATTCTCTCTGTGGAGAGAGGTTTATTTTTTTGTTCATTGGTTTTGGTTTTGGTAATTTTGTTTGTGCATTTTTAAGGAATGAGAAGTGAGAGTTCATTTTAAGTTACTCATTGCTGTTGGTTTTGCTGTTGTGCTATTTATAGAAGGCTCTAGGTACTGCCGTGAGAATGGCTGCTGTGCTGACTCCCTCCCGCCATGTTATTTTATTCTAGAACTGAGGGCCGAAGTTGACATTATTGAGCAGATGAGCAGCAGCAGTGGGAGCAGCTCCTCAGACTCTGAGAGCTCATCAGGAAGCGATGACGACAGTTCCAGCAGCGGAGGCGAGGACAACGGCCTGGCCTCTCCTCCCCAGCCTTCACACCAGCAGTCCTACAACAGCAGGCCGGCCGTAGCCAATGGGACCAGCCGGCCTCAAGGAAGCAACCAGCTCATGAACACCCTCCGTAAGTGTGCTTTCCCTTTTATGGCTGAGCCAGGGCTGACACGTCAGCCAAAGATACTGCTTCTGTATATCTTGTGCAAGTGTCAGCCGCTGTTGTCATGCCACCGTCACCGTCTTAAGTCTAGGGTAGCAGTTGTCAGATTTTTTAGTCTTGGATCCTTTTATTGTAAAAATCACTGAGGATTGTGTTTTCTCTTTATAGGAAATGACTTGCAGTTGAGCGAGTCTGGCAGTGACAGTGATGACTAGAGCCGGATCTTTCGAAATCAACTTTTTGGTGCACTACTAAGCTACAAGACCAGGCTAAGCTAGCATGGTGTCCATTGCCAAGAAGAAAATGCAGATCTGTGACTACAGTGGGAGTTTGAGACTCTGGACTCTCATATTCAAGTCTTTAACTTAGTGGTGATGGGTGATTTTCTCGTGTTATTTTTGAGCAATCTCAAGTTTCAGAGTTTTAAGTAGATCTATAGAAGAACTAACAGAATTACTTTTCCATTTGGTAACACCGCTAATGAAAAACAGACATTTGTGCCCTGGTGTAGGTTACTCAAAGGCTACCACTTTACCAGGCCAATGAGTCAGTAGTCAGCCACCAGTTTGGCAAGTGCTCTGCACCAGTGAAATGAAACACCGTCTTTTGAGGGGTAGAAGAGAGAGAGGAACTTCAAACTGCAGCATAGAAGTACGTTAAAACCACTTTAAATTGTTGACATAGAGTGGTCAGAAGTTTTGTCTGACCCACCTGACAAGCCCATGTAAAAATGGACTTCAAGATGGAAGAGTGTCAGCTGGGCCTGGAGCTCTGCTCATTCAACCCTGTCATTTCCAGACAAGGAAGGGGGCAGTACACTGCTGGCCTCGGCCAGTCTCCGACCTGCCCTCCAGTCCAGGCTTTCCCCACTGCTCCCTCATTTACTTGTACGAGGGACTTAAATGTACATTGGAGCTTTTACTGGATTCCAAAAGACGACAGTGTTGGGTCCTTCAGCTCAGATTCAGATAGTCCCTGAGTGCATGAAGCTGGCTGAGCAGAGGAAACCAGCAGCCACTGTGCTGATGCATGTGACTGGGTTAAATTGACTTTAGTTCCCTGTGGCTCCATACCAAGTGTTCTTCATTCAGTGGATTTAGGGGTGGTAGGGGAGGGGTGGTGGAAGAGAGGTGCAGTGAAGAAACCCTTCTAAACAAGTTAACCAGTAGCAGATTTCCAGAAACCAGAATCTAGATAGGAGCTCTGCAATATGAAACGAGCACATTCTTTGATAAGGTGTTTCTGTTCACGCTTTTGTACCACTGTTTGTGCCTGACTCTAGACTGATTTGTATTTTTTTATATTCCAACTAGAAGAAAGTCACAAGATTGCCTTCTGCAGTGTGCAGTTTCCAAGTGAATTTGTTGTTGCAGGAAACTGGTCACTAGTGAATGTTCCATAGTGAGTGAACGTGTGCAGAATTGTTCCATAATTGGTGTGGACTAATCCATTTCTATGAATGAATGTGTCCTGAGAAATTTCCATTTACTTTGGCTCAGTGGGTGTCAAGAACATTAAAAATGATTTCTCCTCTCATGTCCCTTCACCCAGGTGGCCTCCCGCCCCCCAGCTAGTGGAGGGGAGCCGGACCTAGGAAGGAAATAGATGGTCCGCGGTGGGGGCTTCAGTTAGTGTTTCGCCTTATAGATTCACCTGTTTCATCCACTTCTGGACCCCAGGTTGCTGGCAATGTGGGCTGAGACTGCCCCACTGAGTGTAGGTAATAGGTCAGTTCTCTGTGGTGGTCTCAACCTGTCATGTGGTTTCAGTGGATTGAATGGCAGGTAGGAACTTATTTATAATGAAATGATAATTGCTTTATAATTCCTTGGTAATGACAGCTCAGGGAAGGTGAAGGTCTTGATTGGGAGACATGAATTGTTACTGGATGTGGGAATTGTTTCACTGCTCTCAACCTGCTCAAGCTGGGGCAGGTTCCAGGAACTTGAACTAAAATTAAGCCTCTTTTTTTTCACCCAAAGTCTTGATTAATATAGACAGAACTGTGGTTTTTGGCATGTTGGGCCAAAATGTTTGTTTCAATAGGAAATGCTTGCAAGTGGCCCTGGACTTGGTAAGTGGAGCTCTCTGAGCTTCAGATGCGCTCCCACCCATTCATCCTGCCCAACGCTGTGGTCATCCCCTAGCAAAGCTCCATCTCGGCCCCTGCACAGATCTTCAGTGACCCCTCCCCGTACCCTCCAGCGTTACCCACCAGAGTAAGGAATCTTTTTGGAAGACAAGAATTTGGCGTCAAGGACTGCTCTTGAGTACCTTGTGCCAGCCAAACTGGACTTGTTCTTCCTGCCTCTGTGCCTTGTCAGTCTCTCTTCCTCTTCCCTGCTGAACGCCACTCCCGGGGCTCTGTAAGTGCCATCTTCGTGGACTCGGCCTCTGGCCTTTTCAGCCCTCTCTGTGGACACACTGACTTCCTCTTGCTTGAGCTCTGGTTGGTGAATACTCCCTTACAAACAGGGGGTATCATTCTCATCTCTGTTCCTTGCAGTCCGCTATCCACAGGAATTCAGATGCTGATAGCCTGATGGGGAGGAGGCAGAGAAATCTAAGGGTAGAGTAGAGGGTAGACCTGGAAGAGACAGGCCAGGCATTTGGCCTCAGCTGAAAACCATCTCTGCTCATTTTCCTGGCTTTGAAATCTTGAACTGAATGGCCACCGTTGCCCTTGTGCCCTGTAGCTGGGTGTCCACCACACTGTGGGTCATTAGGCAGGATGTGAAGACTGTCCTCGGAGCCATGGCAAGCCACAGCAAAGATGTAATTTGGGAAAACTTAATACAGATAAACTAAAGATTTGTAAAGATGCCACTCGTGAACTGTATCTGTAGCAGAATCATTTTTCAGTGTGTGGTATTAATTCAATGTATGTGCTTCAGTGGTGGGATAACTTGAAAATTCCAAAATCCTTCCCTGTTCGAGAGGCTCGTTAAGTAGGGGTGTGTTTGTGTGTGAGAGTGAGTGTGATGTATTTATTACATGATTTTGAAAGCGCAATAGTCATGAGGATATATATTAGGTACAGCCGGATTGGATGTTTCCATTTGGCAAGGAAGGTAGGATTTCTGAAACTCAGGCCTTAACCAGTAGTTTGGAAGACAAGACCTATTGGAATATTATGAAATATGTGTTTTTTGTTGCTTCTGTTATTTTTGTCTTGGATTCATTGTCTCATTCTCCAATGATTTTTAAAATCTTGTGCCTAAAAGTTTATTTTGCTTAATTATGAAGTAGATGTGCATGTTTACATTTATGTAAAATATTTGCCGTGTAAAGTTTTTTTGGTTTATTCTCTTAAAAGATCACTATATTTAAGTAAAAAATGAAGGTCAGCAATACTCTTGTCTTGGTGGGTTTTACTTTCTTAATACAAAAATCAGTGAACTAGAAATGAATGAAAAATGCAAGGTTCTTTGAAGAATTCTTTCCCGAAAGTCTAATTATCTAAAGTGCTTGCTTTTAATTTGGAATTTGTGATCATTAGACTGCACACCTCAGCATTAAAAGGTGTGAAGTTCAAAACTAATGTCTGTAGCAAGCCACATGGCAACAGAGGCCGTTTTAGGGGTCTAGAAAGGCCACTTAAGTGTGGGTCTGAGAACCAGGCAGAGTTTCAACTAAATCCTTGACATTTTAGCTCACTCAACCCCTGCTCTGGAACGCCGTGCCACAAGTCAAACAGACACACCCGACACCCAGTGGGCCCCGCCTCCTGCTTCCCTCCCAGAGCTCTGGCTAGCCATGCCCATGTTTGGTTTGGGCTCTTCTGATAAGCCGTAGACATTGATGTACTCATCGACCACATTCCTTTTTGACTTGGGTCTTTCCCCTATTGGGTCAAGAGAACCAGGAGAGGAAATGCTTATTCTGCCCCTGGTGCCCATTTTCTCAGGAGGAAGTAAAAGACTTGAACCAGGACTCTCGGTGGTCACATGCTATGCATTCATCATCTAAGGGAGCTTCATCCTCATTAACTGTTGCCCCTATGATGATAGGTAACAAACCACCCTCAAACTCACTGGCTTAAAATAACCTTTTTTTTGGGGGGGGGGTGTTCAAATTTGATTGGTGACTTAGACTGGACAGTTCTGGTCTTGACTGGGCTCCTTGATGAACCTAGCAGTTGACTGAGGTTCAGTTGGTTTACGGTGACGTGGCCAGCACACCTGGGACAACATAGGTGGGCTCCAGGTGTCTTAACCTCTAGCAACCTAGATGAGACGTTGTCATGGCAAAGACAAAAGTGCGAGAGCGAAAGGAAAAACGACTGCCTCTGAAGTGACTGGCCTTGCGTCATTGGTCAAAGCCAGTCATGGGGCCACGTTCAGAATCAAGGAGTGGAGAAATACACTTACCAGTTGATGAGGAGAGTTGCAAAGTACCTTGGAAAGAGTGTAAGTGCAGGTAGGTGTGAAGAATTCGGATAATTACTGCAGTCTATCCACGACCTCCATGTACCCTGTGTCTCCACCATGGTTGAAAATATGATCTCTTAAGTCTCCCAGCTCTGGCTTTTTTCCTGGCCAGATAAACAGAAGTCCTGGCGGGAATTAAGATAGGTTTTATTCATGGTTACTGCAGAGGGCAGCAAACCCAAGCCAGTGGCTCCTCTAGGCTTAGCAGTTCCCTCCATTTTATCTCATGGAAACTGTTGGTTAGGAATTAGGACAGAGCTAGACTGGGCAGTTCTCCTGTGTCTTCAACTAAGGTCACTCAGTTGGCAGGTGGGCAGGACTGGAGAGTCCAAACTGGCTTCACTCGCATGTCTGGCACCACAGTGCGGGTATCTGGAAGCAACCAGAGGACCTACATGGCCTCTTGCAACGCGGGCTTATGGAAATTGATCTTATATGGTGGCTGCCTTCCCCTAGGGTGAATGTTCTGAAAAGCTCCGTGGCCTTTGTGACCTGGGGAATCACACAGCATCATGTCTGCAGTATTCTATTGGCCAAAACAGCCCAAAGCCCAGCAGATTCTTCAATGGAATGGAGTATTAAAAACTTGCCCACCCAAAGACCCTACCTTTTCCTGTTTGTGATCTGCCTTTGTTCTCAGACGAGACATCTCTCCAGGCAGTGCTCTTAAAATGTGGTCCCTGGTAACATTAGCAAGGCCTGGAACCTTATTGGAAATTCCTGTTACCAGGCCTCACCCCAGCTGAATCAGAGAATCTGGGGGAGAACTCGGTCTTCTGTTTTGAGGATCCCTCCAGTTCTTTCAGCTGAATCCCAAAACTTGAGACCCACTACCCCAGGATGAAATGGCCTCCCTTGGTGACCCATGACCATGGCTGCCTTCAACTTCTTGTCCTCAGTGATGGGTTGAGGGAAACCTTGGGGGGGTGGGGGGGGGCTGTGGTGAGGAGTGATAATGGATTTGGGGTGGAACAGCAACATTTCAAAGAGTTGGGGGTTTGTGGAGGGAAGACAATTCCTCAATTTTGAGGAAATTGCAGAAGCCAAATAACCACAAGTGAAACTCTTGAGACAACTAGTGTCTTCACAGAATTTCAGTGTCACGTGGGCCCCTTTTCTATAAAGGGAGCCGGGCGAAAGGGAACAGAGGGCAGGGGAAATTCCCCATTTCTTCCTTCAGAAGGTGTTTTCTGGTAGCATTGTCTGACGCAAAATCAACTGTCGGGCCGAAAAGAGCTCCGGTGAAACCCCAGAGAGAGAGACCTGTGAGGAAGGCAACGTGAGTTCTCTAATTTCTTAGAGACAACCCACTCACAATGATTGCATATGACACCAACGGAGAATAAACGACAGGTGAGCGCCTCTGGGCCCATGAGTGGCAACGGGGTTGCTCAAATGCAGCCATCTCCTTGGTGGATGGCCAATGTCCTTGACCTGTGAGCTCCTGGTTATCACACAATTTGAAGACCAGAGTTGCCCTGAAATTTTAAATTGATTCACTCCTCTACCAGGGAGGGATAGGGCAGACACCTCAAGCAGTCACCGGGCGCAGGTTGCCCATTATTTTTTTGAAAGACATAGGACTTTTTTTTAAAGTTTTTTTTTTTATACAATTTTTACATCTTTTTTCATTTTTGCACAATGTATGCCTTTTCATCTTGGTGCCCATTATTTATAACAATGTTTGAAGACTCTTAAGCAGCTTGGCCCATGTGCCCTCCATGTCCTGTTAGAATGATGGGTAACCCAGTGTGTTTATCCCAAGATGCTCAGAAACTTGTCCTACCATCTTTCCAAGCACTGGTTCTTAAGTAGTAGTTACCAAGCTTCCTTCAGAGACTTCACTTTGCTTAGAGAGTTGGTACTCAAACAGCTTTGAAGGTGGACGAGGACCTCAGGGCCAAACCTTAGCTCTATACCGCCCTGGTTCTGGGGGAGCCTCTGGACTGGCTCAGAGAAGCCCAGCCAAAGACTGGATCCTTGGGAATCAGTTGAACAGAGCTTGGACTTCTGTGATTGCAGAAAGAATAAAAAAAAATCAGCCCAACTGAGAGACAAAACCATTCCTGCACCTTTCCATTCACCAGATAGACTGAGAAAGGCTCCTACAGAAAGCCCAAGGTCACAGCTGCAGTGCTGAGGTGTCACAGCCGCTCCTTTCTTTGAGTGGCTGCTGCTTTCATTCCAGTGACATCCCCAGCCTTACTTTGTGGTGCCTGCTTGCCCCCTGGACCAAACTTGGACTAAAATCACGGGCTGTCAACACTTTGCCCTTTGCAAACCTGATATTGGAAGACCTGAGCTGTGCAAATCACTTTGCCAGAGGGCAGTTCCCACCCTAGATGCAGAACTTCCGTTTCCCTTTGCAGTTTTCTAAAGATTCAGGACTTCCACAGTGCAGGCTTGATCCATTTATCCACAGCCTGCTTTGCTCTGAGCCTGTCCCAGCCCTGCTTCCTTTGCATTCTGTTGACCCTCCACCCCTCCCAAATGCTCTCACAAGCTTGTCTGAGAGGTCGCATTGTTCTGGCCTTGGGTCTCCCACGGTTACAAGTTACTAGTCAGGAAGCTGAATTTTGTTGGTCTACTATTTCCTACCCAAGGTCTTCACCAGATGGGCTAATGTGAAGCAGTTTGGGAACCGCTGCTCTTTCTCATTGCTTTTCGGTAAAGGCTGAGATTCAAAATGTTAGATTTCAGCCCTTGCATAAAGTGTCCTTCAGGTGAGGAGTTGGAGGATATGAGACTCGAGGAGCCAGGTATAAACACAGACTCCAGACTCTCAGCTCCACATTGGAAACCTCAGCTTCCCACGGACGAGCCAGTGCTTTCAGGAAACATTTACCTGCACAAATGAACTCTTGCCACCTATTCTGTGGCTGCCTGGTCTGTTCACAGGTGCCCCTGGGCAGCCCAATCCTGAGAAGCCTGTTCCTGACACCACAGAGTTAGCATTCCAGGAAGGGCTGCGGGCCCACTTCCCTGATATTTCATCCTTCCACTTAGCTATGCACCAGCGTAGAATTATTATCATTACAAAGGTTCTTAAGACATGTGACTTTGAATCCTTTCATTTCCTTGGCCTTTGAGAACTCTTCCTTGAAAAAGCTGGAGACAGGCCCTTCTGGAATATTGCTGAGTTAGAAGACAAGAACATCGATAGAGGCTCACATACAAATGTCTATGTTATAATCAAATGATTACTAAATTCGTTCTTTCTGCTCACCTGACATTTTCATCAAGACCTGGAAGACCAGGCTTGATTTGGCATTTTTAGATTCTTCAAAGTTCATGCCAGCATGGCAGCACAAGAGATGGGGGTTCCAGTCCCTAGTCCTACACCCCTCTATTATCCGCCCTGAGAGGAGCCTCATGTGTCCCTACATAGAAACCCCAGCTTCCATACCCAGGGCCCCGTGGAGGCAGATTACGGCCAGAGGAGGGCCAGACTAGTGCCTCCCAGGCAAGGGACCTAAGACAGGGCCCTCCTTGGCCTGGTCCAAGGACAGGCCTGGCTCTCTACCCCATCCGAAATAAGTCCCTGAAACAAGGCCGGTGGGGGGAAGGCTTAGCTAGACTAGTCTGTACAATCTCTGGCGGGTCCCTCCACATCTCTGGAGCTCAGTTTCCTTTCTCAACCCTGGGGCTGCTTCCACCCTCTAGAACCCTCTGCAATAGCTGGAACCAGACTTGAATTCACTCCATCAGGCAATGTACGAACATTGGCCCCAAATCCCCAGGAAAAAGATAGCCACTGTGGGGAAATAAACTGCCTTTATTCCCTTATTTCCCATTTGTAGACCCCAGTCTCAAGTGGTAGCTTTACAGGGTAGCAATGTCCCCCCAGGACTTGCAGTAGAGGCTGAGGGAGTCAGGCTCACCCATGTGTTCCCCTCTTGGAGATGCTCCCCTAGGGCTGAGCCCATCCACAACTGACCACCAGCCCACCACCCACTAGGCTAGGAGCTCCTGCCTGCAAATCCCCACGACTCAGGTTCATTTAATAGCTGTGTACAAAGCCCCATGAGTGTCCCTCCATCCGGTGACAAATGGGCAAATCCCATTTGAGGTCTGCCATGGGGGAGACATCTTTCCAGACAAAGCTACACCCCACTCAGGAGAGGTGCTGAAGGCAGCTCATGGACAAGCAGGACTGATGTTCCTGTGGAAACATCAGGCCTGGCATGCAGGTGTGAGGACAGGCTATGCGATACAGAGACACAGAGGCAGTCACAGGCAGCTAGGACTGGCACTCAGCACAGAGGTCTCTGCCAAGAATGCTGACTCAGTAGTGGGGCCCTTGATGGGGAAAACAGGGCAGGATTTTCCTAAGGACTGAAGAACCACCCACAGCCGACCCAGGCCTGGACACCAGGTCATATGCTGCCTGCGAATCTCCCGAGCCAGAAATGGACAAGAGGGACATTGCATGGCAGAGGTCAAAGTGCAGAGAGTCCTCAGGTCAAGATGGTGTTGGATAAGAGCCGCCTCTTTGGGGAAGGTCGAGAAGCAAAGGCCACTGTTCTGCTAGTCTTCGGGGTGAGCACCCTGCTGAGACTCCATCTCTGCCCAAGGTAGAGCAGGAGTTAGGGGAGCAGCCTCAGTCCTTTTCACAGTTGGGTCTCTCTTCCTGGAGGAGCCGCCTCCTAGTGCGGCTGTGCTGGGCGGTGGCCCACTGATGGCTCCCTGGGGGGATCCAGAAATGGGAGCCTCCAGGAGAGAACAGGCCCACTTCCAGACTTCCTGGATCACAGACCTCCAGAGAAGCGACAGCCAGTGCCCTAGTGAGAATGCCTGAGTTTCTGGAGGTCGTAGGCACACAGATGCCCCAAATGGGACGAGAACAAACTCAGACACAGGTGTGTGTGTGTGTCTAAGGTGCTGAGTCAGGTCCATGGCCTGGTTGATCCATCCAGAGAGAAAGGGCACGGACGGTGCCCCCAGCCAGAAGGTGGTGATGGGGGCACTTCCCAGCTGGGCCCGCAACAGGAGGCAGGGTCCTGAGTTCTTCTGATCAGGCTGAGGTCAAAGTGCATCTTAGCAGCAGGAGTCTGTCCTTGTTCTTGTCCCACGAAGGTGGTAGAAACTGGACCAGGACGGCTCGAGGTCAGTGTGATGAGAGTGGAGAAGCTGCTGCCAGTCTCGCAGGATGCAGCCACCTCCTCCAGGGAGCCCTCACGTGAAGTAGCGGCAGGGTGTGGAGTCAATGTAGCAGTACGGGGTGCACTGCAGGTCTCCGTAGGACCTGAGGGAGGCAGATGGCAGCCGGGGGTCAGGGAGATGTGGGGTGGTGGACAGCTCTGAGGACTCTCTTCTGATGGGCCCTCCAGTGATTTTTGGTCAAACCTCATCATACAGCAGCACTGCTGTCACCTTGCTCAGGGCCAAGGGTGCTATGCAAGCTGTCCGCATTCTTGTTTGGGATTGGGGTGGAGGGAGTTGTATTCAGACCTCTGGACTTTTTCCCTTGAGACTACTGGGGGTTCTAGCAGAAGAAGGTGGTGTTCTTAACATGGCATCTACTAGAGCATCACCCCCTTCTCAGGCCTAAAGGATTTCCAGCACTTTTCATTAGAAGGTCCCTTACAAGACAAATCTGTTTTTGTGAAATCCAGTATGGCTGCCACTAGCCAAATGTAACTCCTGAGTTCTTAACCCATAGCTAATGTGACTGAAGAATTAAAATTAAAATTTTATTTAATTTGAATTAAAGAGCCACATGTGACTGGGGGCTACCATGTTGGAGAATAAAGTCCACACCTCTGTAACCCCAGGGCTAATCCTGAGACAAGGTTAGCCATTATACCCATATTCACAACATCTCCCAAGGCTTCTAGGGATGAGGAGAGCAACCCCAGTGAGCCAGCGGGTCAGCCTTGGGCTCTACTCAATTCTGTACTCCATGTCTGAATGCCTACACCCAATTGTCTCCATCATGCCATCAACCAGCTCAGACCTTGCACCCCTCTCTGCAGCCCTTATTTTAGGTGGGGGCAGTGCAAACAGACAGACAGAAGCAATGTGGGCCTGGTCAAGTCTACCAGGCTGATTGCTGGGGTGACCACAGGTCTGTAGGAGGTTGAGGAGACCCCCCCTTTGGAGCTAGAGAGACAGGCCTGGTACTTGCCCCTAGTCTTGACCAGGGCCTGGGTCCCAGCCTTCTAGAGGAACAGGGCTGGAAGCAAAGGTTGACAAGATTGACTCCAGAAGGACCTGGAAGGAGTGAAGGGCCAGTAATCCCCTCTGGAGCCAGGGGGAGCAGGATGTGACTGGGGGAAGGCCTGGCCTTTCCTTTTTCCCTCAATGCTGTACAACTGGTTTTGCGAGGAACCAGGTTAGGGTTTGAGCCATTTTTAGCCTAGGAAGCCACATTCCGGCCTGGAATCAGTGCCTCACTGGCTACTGGCCTTCAAGGACTAGGGAGATGTCCAGGTGGACGTCCAGACAGTAGCACACGCATTCTGAGAGACATGAGCTCCCCCCGGGCAGTCTCGGAAAGAACTAACAGCAGAACCCTAAGTTCCTGGGGTTTTCTCGGAAAGGCCAACAGCCCGGAGAACTAGATAAGAATGGTGGCGTGACCTCTTTTTCACTCACAGGCCTGCCAGTGCTGGGGGGGTGTTCCAGAGAATTCCTATTACAGAGATGCTTACATTCCTTGAAATGCCCTGACCCCTGACCCCTCCACCCCCTCCCACACCCAGAAAACTGAGGGGTCCTGGCAGCCATCAGGGGTGGGAGTCACAGGGGCAACAGCCCAGCGTAGACCCTGCTTATCCCCTCCGGTGGCTGGTGGACGCACAGGCGGCTGGGGGCAGGGGACAGGCGGTGATGATGTTTGATGTGCTTATTGCCTGTTCCCTGTATTATGTTATCTGTCGACACAACTCAATGTGTAGAAAGTACCAAGAACAAATAAAGGCACTCAAAATAACTGAAGGAAGACAGGGAGGCACTGAGGTTATCCCTACCCAGGGAGATAGGTCTCACACTTCAGGGAGCCAAAGTCGGAGCCGTCACAGTCCTCCACGCCCTTGTGCCGGTGGCCGTCTCCACAGTAGGCCCGGTGACAGCCTGAGGGGACACAGCAATGCAGCTCTGAGAAAGGTGCAGGGACAGGCTTGCCTGGGCCTGTCAGCACTGTGTGGCTTTAGAGATCTGAGCACACGTGTCCACAAAGCTTCTGAAGCATCAGGGACTTCCCCAGACCCACATCCCACAGCAGGAAATAAGGAGCCCAGCGCTGCAGCCCAGCCCAAGGCTGGTTACATGTGAGGTGGATGGCAGGCCGTTGACCTCTCTAAGCCTCAATGTCCTAGTCCTAAATCTGGGCCATGGACCCTGCCTTCCCCTCACAGGACCATGAGGGTTCCTGTGGGCGGAAGTCCAGGAGATGATGAACTTTCAGGTGGGTGATGCTGGAGGGTAACTTTGGGCCCCTGGGGAACCAGATTGTCTTCAGTGAGGCCTCTGTTCTCACAGGAGGGGAAGCTCTTGGAGTCTGAGGTCTGCCATATTTCACAGTTCCTTCCTGCCGTGTGGTCTCCTGTGTGACGATGTCTGCACCAGGAGCAGAAGGGACACCTAGCAAAGCCAGCAGCCTGGGGATCACCTCCTGGGGACTGTAATGGGCAAGCACAGCTACCCTGGGGGACCAGCAGCTTCTTGTCCCCTCCCCTGCCCAGGCATACCCTGCCCTGGAGCTTCTAGTGACAGACCACACTTTCTACCTATACGTCCCCAGCCCAGGCCTGGTTCCTTCCTGGAGGGGCCTAAAAACAAGTCCTGAATGGATTCAGTGAAGGGACAATGAACTGTCAGAGCCTCCACAGACGATCCACACGTAGGTTAGCTCACAGAATCCTAAAGACACAATGGGGCAGGACTGTTGTACCATTTCTGAGATAAGGAAAGTGGGACTCGGAGCCATAAACTGCCCTCCAAGGGCCCCCTCTTCTAGTGCCTCCCCTTGGAGCTGAGAGTTGGCTGGGGGCTCTCAGCGCTTGCATTTGAACTCTGACTTTTCTGATTCTAAAACCCATGCTTTCAACCTCACCTCCTGCTTGTCATTTGATTAAAAAAAAAAAGCAAGCAAGCAGACCCCCCCAGCACCCCACAGGCCTGAAGGCAGCCCTGGCCAACCCCCTACCCTTAAAAAGTCTTTGCTGCTAGGCCTCCAGCAGGTAAACGTGGGCCCTCATTCCACTATTTGGCCTGACCCCTCAGTCCTGCGTCGCCTTCCTCTTTTCATTTAGAATGTGCGTTTTGCTAGGAAGTAGGAATCAGACCTAGTGGCTTCACTTTGGGACAAGACCCTTGACACCAACCCCCATGACATGCTGGGTGTGACAAAGTTGACATTTGACCTAAGTGGGGAGCCCAGCCCCCTGCAGCCCACATGCACCCCGAGTGATTCTGGACCTGTCCTGAACCACCACAGTGTCCAGGAGGGCCCGGCCTCCCACCGATGGCAGCCCAAGCCTCAGGCCCTCCTGGGCTGGGCCCACTCACTGATGCAGTCGTCACCGGCATCATCATTCCCGTCGTCACACTCCTCCCCAGGCTGCAGGACCCCGTCCCCACAGGTGCCAAGGCGGCCATCTATGTTGTAGTCCACGGGGTAGAAAGGGGTCAGCTGGGCAAAGAAACACAGCAGTTACCAGGGATGGTGTGTGGGTCATTGCCGCTGGAGACAGAGGTCTGGCCCTTGGCTTCCCTGGGTGGGAAAGCACTCCGCCCTTTGCTGTCACCCAGAGCTCTGTCGTTGGCAGGAAGGCCGGGCCAGTCGGGATGGTGGCCGGGACATGGAGAGCTGCTCAGAAGCAGGGTGAGGGAGGATGCCTTTCCATGGAAACAGCTTGCAGAGATCTTGGCCCCAAACTGCTGGCCTTCCCTCCCTTTAATAATGTGTCCCTCTTGGGCCTCCCCGGTGGCACAAGGGGTTAAGTCTGAGCACTATGAAGCTATCTGCAGCCTCTGCAGCACAAGTTTGATCCCCAGCCAGGGAGCTACCCACATGGCACAGCAGACCTCTCCTATCTCGCCTGCTGCTCCCCTCAGCAGTGTATTTCAGTCAATCCGCCTGTTCTGCTCCCCACTCTGTCTCTGGTGAACCCTCTCACCCCCCACACCTCTGGCCTACACCTCAGTTCTTGTATGCATAAATAAATAAAAATAAATCTTAAAAAAAAAATGTGTCCCTCTCCTGTGTGTGTGGGGTGGGGGAGTGTACCTGGATGGGGAGCCAGCCGAGGCTGTCCTTGAAGTACAGAGATCTCTGGTCTCGCCGAAAGGCAATGGCATTTTGAGTGTTCAGCCTCTCAAGCTCTTCCTGGTTGTTAACCACAAAAATCTGCCAGACAACACAGTGGTGAGGATTCCAGAAAACACTTCTACAGGGGTCAGGGGGAAAGCTGGAGAAGGAAAGAGAGTCTCTATCTTGGGGCTGGTTGACCTTGGGAAGGGGACTTTGCTTCTCACCCTGGCATTCCTCTTTAAGTGGGCAGGAATGTCTTGATATCTACACCTCCTGAATCTAGTTCCTAGTGTCCGGTTTGGGGGCAAAAAAAGTCCACCATCATTTAAAAGTTATCCTGAGACTTCAATGAAAAGGTGGTGTCATCTACTTAAGAGTAATTCAACATCTGGAGATGATACTTAACAGAATTCTCAGACTCACTCCAAGATTAATTACAGTGTTATTTACACTAATGAAAAGCTTGGGGGCACCTCATAAATATCCAATAATAGGGCACTGGCTAAATAAAGCCCAGCACAACCACATAATGGATGAATGATTGTATAGCCATTCAAATGATGTTTATGATGACTTGATGTCCAGGATTTATGTCAAATAACCCCAGGGAAGTGGGCATTGGTGAGAGGCATGAAGAGGAAACAAAATTAGCCATGAATTGATCATTGTCGAATTGGGGTGGCGTGTAGCTGGAGCTGCCCTTGCATGCACCAAGGGTACCCATCTGCTTTGCATTTATAAATACAATTAAAAGATTAAAATGATATTTATAGTGTGGAAACATGGCAGGATTCCTACTGAGTCAACTGGAGTACAACATATTTATCAGCTCAACCATATAAATTTGCTCCTCAAGAAGACAAAGAAAACTCCCAAATGGACCCACGTCCGATGGAAAAGTTTGGTTTTCTTCTTTTGATTCCCCCCATATCTCCCTATTTTCCAGAGTGAGTGTGTACCCAGTATAATGCGGAGAAATAAATTTTACCGAGCCCCAAGAGGATCAAGTAAGAGGTCCTGAATGATAACGACCCCCGATTTCACCTGCAAGAGACTTACCACGGGAACTCTGGGGGAATTGGGCCCGTACACGGATTCCCCCTGGGAAGGGTTATTATTCACATTCATGGGATTCCCACAAAGACATCTTCCTGGAGGCCCGGGAAATCCTCTCTCCCCTTTGGGCCCCATGACAAGTTGTCCTAGGAAGCAACAGATCGCTGTGTTACAAAGTTGGCCACTACCCATCCCTGCACATCCTCATTGCATGAGAAAAAAATCCTGTCTGTTGAGACCAGTGTTATCAGGGAGTTTCTTGCTGATGACTGCATTGCTGGTTGATGACTTTTATTGTATTTTAATCATTTTAGTTTGTCCTTTTTACATAGAGAATCTTTACCAAGGGATTTCTACGTGTGGGTTTCTCTGATATCTTCTGGAAGAAAATGGAACATTAGAAAATGCTCAGCCTGTTGATTCTCCCCCACTGAGAAGAGTGTCTGCAAAGACCTGAGCAAGAAATGGACCCCCTGGTGCCCTGAGACCTGCCAGGGTGCAGCCGCCACCGCCACTCCTCCAGATCACGCTCCAGACCATTCCTATAGAGGCAGAGGAACGGAGCCCAGGCCTCTGTACTTTCAAAAGTTCTGCTCAGTGCGCACCAAGACTGAGAGCCGCTCAACTAAGCCAGTGGAGTCTCCCCCTCTCCCCCTCTCACCTGTCAAGATTGTTCTCCCCTCACACTCCATCTCTCCCTCCCCAGGTTCCTTCTAATCACTCGCCACAGGAAAGCCTTTCTGTATCTCCACCCTCTCTCGGGTTCAGATGTAATTGGATAGTTTCTGTGCCTTTTCTTTTCTTTTAAAGATTTATTTATTTATGCATACAAGCATTGGGGTATAGGCCAGAGGTGTGGGGGGTGAGAGGATTCACCAGAGACAGAGTGGGGAGCAGAACAGGTGAATTAACTGAAATACACTGCTGACAGGAGCAGCGGGCGAGTCAGGAGAGGTCTGCTGCGCCTTGTGGGTAACTCCCTGGCCGGGGATCAAACTCGTGCTGCAATAGCTGCAGATTGCTTCATAGATTGTGTCTTAACCCCTTGCACCACCAGGGAGGCCCTCCCTGTGCCTTTTCTTCTAGACTTTTCTGCAGGACACTTATTTCTGAGTGTGAGATTATCTGATCATGGTCCCTCTCTCCCAGTAGATCATGAGCTCCACGAGGGCAGGGCTGGGCCTGTCTTCACTCTCTGGGGCTGACAGATAGCACGGGCACAGCTGGGGTCCAGTGGCTGAATGAATGAATGAATGACGCAGATGAATTGGAAGGGAAAGTTCTTCAGAAAAGGCTCAAAGTCACACTGAAAAGGGCTAGAGCAAGAGCCATCCAGTGGACAGAGAGGGGGAGACTGAACAAGGAAAGACATAGACACTCCCCCCCCCACCCCGCAAAAACAAAGGGGTTTGGAGACGAGCTGGTGGCTGGCTCCAGGCTGTATAACATGATATAGCCAGCAACTGTAGACGCTTGCAGGGTCCAGAAGGACAGAAGATAATATGACCCCAGGGGACAGGTCTGGGCAGGACCCCAGGAAAGCCGTCACAGCTGGAAGCCACCGAGCCTTCCTGGGCTGGTGGACAGAGCTGCTGGCATGCAGGCAGGGGAGGGCCCCATGGGAGGAGCTCCTGTCTAATGCTCCTCTGGTCTCAGGACAGGCTGCAGAAGGGCCTCTGTGGTGGTGCAAGGGGTTAAGCACAAAACTATGAAGCTATCTGCAGCCTCTGCAGCAAGAGCTTGCTCCCGGGCCAGGGAGGTGACCCACATGGCATAGCAGACCTCTCCTGTCTCACCTGCTGCTCCCCTCAGCAGTGTATTTCAGTGGATCTGCCTGTTCTGCTCCCCACTCTGTCTCTGGTGAATCCTCTCACCCCCTGCATCTCTGGCCTGTACCCCAGTTCTTGTATGCATAAATGAATAAATTTTTAAAAAGGGGGGGGCTGGAGAGACAGACCCCACCGGCCCAGGAATATTCTGGGTAATTAAGACCTCGGGAAATGAGGCGGGGGGAGTGCTCTAATCAAAGACATGAGAGTGGCATTGGAGCACTCTTCCAGCAGTTTCTGTGATCTCAGAGAGATCCAGGCGACTGTCTCATCAGCCAGCCTGTTCATGGCAAGGCTGAGGTTTGAATTCATGTTTGATTTAACACTGCATCGTTCAAAAGAGAAGCATCCAAGCCTATGGATACTCACAGGAAGCTGGCAATTCCCAGCCACATTGATTCACTTAGACCCTGTTTGGGAGCAGGAAGAATTCAGTGAAATTTGTAATTTGGTTATTGCAAATTACATCCTAAAAGCATTTTGCTTTTATTCCCTTCCCCCGTCCCCAGCCCCTCTTTCTCTGGAACTTGGGTGGTGAAAAGCTCCCGCCTACTCTATGTCCCCAGCACCTTCCTGGCCCACGGCACTGGGCATCAGAACCACAGGCAGCCTCCTGACAGGACGTGGCAGGGATCTTGCTTCCTTCCTGCCAGCTCTGCTGTTTCCCTGCTGTTTCCTCCCAGCTGTTGGAGGGCATATGTTACCACTGCCTGTTTTCTGCCAGGCCATACTGAAGGGCACGGCAACCAGAACTTGCCCCATCTCAGGCTTCCTAGGGGCCTGGCCTCTCCAGCAGCTGCCCCTGCCCCCCTTCCTGGCAAGCAGAGGAACCACAGAACTATCCCCCCACTCCCAGTCTGCACTACCAGGACAAGTTTCAGGACCAGGAGTCACAGGCTCATCCTGGACTAGACCAGATTCTGAACCAGGCAAGGCCACCTACCTGTCAGCAGCTCTGTGACCTTGGGGAGGTCACTTCCCTGGGGCTCAAGGCTCTCCTCTGTCAGGGGAGGCATGGAGAGGAGCAGAGCAGGGAAGTAAGCTGAATTGCACAGAACCCAAGGCTCTAGCCCAGGCGGGATTGCGCTGGAGTTACTGGCACTCTGGGAAGCAGCGCACAGAATCTTGGGTGTAGTAGACAGGCTTTTCCCACGAGAGTGGGTTTAGGGCTTTTTTCAGACTCTCAAAAGTAGTCTCAGGTTTTACTTTGGGTTCCACTCTTGATGATTATCCAAAGTCCCAGGCACAGAGGTCTCTTTCAAACTCTTCTCTTCAGCCCCCAAAAAACCTTTCCAAAAAACAAAATAATTGCCCATTTTCTTCAGCCCACTCACTCTGAATGGCTTCAGCCCGTTCATCAAAAAGGAAGTGACTCAAGGCAGGACAGGGAGGAGACGGGTCAGAGGAGGCCCACATGCCCCTGACTGCCCTGCAACAGCCCAGGGGACCAGCCAGAGCCTATGCAGCCCACCAGTGCATACCTCTGGGGGCCAGCCCCTTCCAGCCCACTTGTGCACACCTTGGTGGGGGGGGGGGTTGGCCAGGCCCTTCCAGCATGCCTGCCAGGGACCTGCAGGATGCAGGACTAACTCTGCCACAGCCCCTGCTGTGAGGGCTTGCCATCTAGAAGGAGATGAAACACATCTGCAAGAAGTGGAGGGTCCGTAACAGAAGGCAACATGCGGCCTGGGCTGGGAGGGAGCCCCAACCCTTAGGGACCCTGGGAGGCCTAACTGAAGACAGCTTGGGAGGAAGGAGAGGATTTTGCTGGGTGAGCCAGAGGATGATGGGCCATTTCAGGCCATGCAGACTCAGAGAAACCACAGAATATGTTCAAGCTGAACAGATATTGGGGTGTTTACTGCAGGACAGAAGCCAGGGTGTGGAGGGGGAAAGGAGGCAGGCATAGTAGGCTGAGTAAGAAGGATCTGAAAGACCAAGGCAAGAAAATACGAATGTGTTGCGCCCACTAAAGGGATGGGGTAACATCCACCAGACAAGAGAGGGGGTTCCTGATCAGTTGCTGAAGATCTGCAGGCCCTGCCCTCTCACTCAACCCCATGGCCTAGGAGAGAAATGGATTCAAGTCAGATGAGGGCTGGCCTTTATAAACAGATGCACACGGAGAGGGCATTCAAATCTTCATGGGCTAAGGACCTCTCTGCATTCGTGGCCCCGTGCCTCCTAGCTGCTCCCATTTTGTGAACCCCTAAGGACCCCAAGGGCCACCAACAGAGCCCCTTGCAAAGGCAAAACCCAGGCTCCAGGTCATGCTCTCAGTCTCTGGATTGGAAGCTCAGACCCATGGGACTCAAGGAAACATTTTGCTTGCCAGACTAAGGGCCCAGTGGGAAGCACCCCTAACCAGATCATCTAATCAACTCATGGACACACAGATCAGGTTGCATCTTAAATCTAGTTCCTATAACAAAACAGACATAGGAGTGGCGTGATCACTCATGGGCAGAACGCTGATGTTTGTTCTCACAATGTTTCCTCCTCTCCTGTTTTCAAGGAGGTAATGGGACTTTAGGCCCTTGTTTGCCTTTGCTAAGAACAACTATCATTTGAAGACAAACTTGCCTTTCCACCTTCTGGTCTCAGAAAAAAAAAGGACAAAGCTCCCAAGAGGGGTGGAGGTGTAGAAGGAGAATGAGGAGGAAGGGGCCAGAGGATGGACAAGAAGGGGTTTCTCCAGATTGGAGAGGAGAGGGACCCCCTGATCCTGGGAGGCAGATGAGATCTCACAAGGTGGGATACTCATTGGGAAGTTGAACCATTGGGACCAGGATCCCCAGGCTAGGAAATGATTTGTTACCCAAGCATGGGGTCAGGCTGGTGGCCACCAAGCACCACACAGACCACACGGCCTTGAACAGCAGATATTTCAGGGGTGCATCAAAGACTGAAGGAGCTTCCCTGATGTTTTTCTGCCATAATCTCCCCAGATCTTTGCCCAATGTTTCTGAGGCTGTTGGCGGAGTGAAGAGAATCCTAACAATGCATGAGATTCAATTTCCCAGGCATCCTGACAGGGTGGAGTCTCAGAGCTGGCTTTAATTTGGTTTAAAGAATCTAATAAGATGTGACATTTCTTGATTACCCTATGATGTGGCGGCAAATCTATTCCCATAAACGCAGAGTGGAGAAATTACACTGTAGAATTTTAATGGATTTTGTTTTCTTTTAAAAATTGGAATAGAAATTGTTTTGATTGGGTCCTCCCTGGTGGCGCAAGGGGTTAAGATGCAGCATTATGAAGCTATCTGCAGCCACAGAAGCATGAGTTCGATCCCCAGCCAGGGAGGTGACCCCCACATGGTGTAGCAGACCTCTCCTGTCTCACCCAGTGCTCCCCTCAGCAGTGTATTGCAGTCAATCTGCCTGTTCTGCTCCCCACTCTGTCTCTGATGAACCCTCTCACTCCCCTGGCCTATACCTCAGCTCTTGTGTGCATAAATAAATATATCTTAAAAAAAAAAAAAGTGTAAGCTGATAAAAAGTTGCTGCTATTTTTTCACTTAAAGTATAGATGTGTTACCAGTGTAATTTTTCTTCTTTTTCCTATTTGTTCTCCAAAAATGCTCAAACAAAGCCAAATGGGTGTTTATCTCTCTTGCGCAAAAAGTTGAATGGATGAGCTAAATTATGGGAAAATTATAAATATATTGAAGTGCCTCTGACAGTTTCTAACTCAAAACACAAGGCTGCTGGCATCACATTAGCCCTCTCTGGGGAGGCTAGCCAGGAGTGGAACTCTCTAGATCAAGTGAAACAGTGTGGCTCTTACCTGCTGATGGGGTGCCAGGGGGACCTGGAGGACCTGGTCTGCCAGGTTGACCAGAAGGTCCAGGCTTGCCTGGTGGGCCCATAACTCCACTATCTCCCTTCTGTCCCTGGCAGAAAGAAAGGCAGAGTCTGTATGATAACATGACATAGCAAACTTCCTTCCCCACTTTTCTCTAAATCAGGGACCACCCTGCACTTTGGAGCAAGAGCCCAGGACAAGATGCAGTGACAGAGATCTTGACTAGCAATTTCCTAGAATACTCAGGGCAGGTGACATTCAAGATAGTGATGTTTGCAAGTTTGCAGACATTACTTCTTGCTCTGTCCTAGAAACACAGCACGTGACAGCTGAAAGGAGCCAACCCCCATACTCCCCTTGCTGGGAAGATGAGCAGAGCCTCAGCAAAGAGCAGGGGTTTCTGGTCACCTAGCAGGGAGGCTGCAGAGTTAGGCCTAGAACTCAGGCTTTCTACCAGCACCTCAGGAACATTTCCATTTCATCCCAAGAGCTCTTTCTACCCAGTGGCTTCCTGTTTTTCTCAGGATAAAGACCCAGCTCCTTAATTCAGCCTTCAAAGCCCTGTCCAGCTGGGCTTTCTAATCTCATTTCAGCTTTTTGGTGTTTTTCGTCTTAAAGAGCGCATGACTTTTATCTCTCTCCTCAAGACTCTTCTCTCTACCCTAAACTCCACTTCTCTCCCCTCTGCTTAGTTAACTCCCTCCCGTTCTTCAGCTCTTAACTCAAATGTCTCCATAGCAAAGCCTCCCCTGACCTTGCCAGACTGAGTCAGTTCTCTCAGTCATTGGCTCTCAAAATTCTTTTCATTCATGGCTTTTATCCCAGATCATAGCTGTACAATTATTTGTGTGGTCATTTCATCAAGTCTCCCCCTGGGACTAGAATCTGTCTTGTGCACCTCCCTTCCCCAGGTCAAATGAGGGAGGAGAAAGAAGCTAAGAACATCAAGAGGATGGAGTTTTGTTGGGCAGTAAGTCAAGAAATCTGGGTTTTCACTTTGGCCTTGAGATCCTGCTAATTCAAGCCATACCTTGGGCCTCAGTTTTCTCATCTGTAAAATGGGCACAGTCAATATATATATCTATGCAGCTTTGTCAGGGGGTTAACAGATCTCAGGAATGAAAATCTGTTTTGCACAGAACCAAGGGTTCAATGGAGCATGTGGATTATCACAGCAATTGACTTGGATTTCACACATTTAGAAAATTTCTTAAAACAGTGTGTCCATTTTGCTCCTGCTCTGGGAGGGTCAAGAGTGAACAGTTCTCCCTCAGGGCTGCCCTTAGGAATGACCCTAGAAACCAAGGCAGATTTATGCTTGGAGGCTCTTCCCTGGAACATTCTGCTAGCTGTCTGCTCTTGTCCAGGGCCTAACAGGACAGTGATTGATGCCCGACATCACTGGCCTGGATCCCTTTTCTACATGTGTGCTTTGGCGGATGTGCCCACCTGATGAAATGCCACCTTCCCTGGGCCTGAGAAGTAGGCAGGCGGGTACTCCTTTCCAATCACAACGGTGACCTGATGTCCTGTCAACATGTCCCTGGGCAATGCCCAATGAGTTCTTAAACTCAATATGGGAGCTGTGAGATCTGTTTCCAATTTTGTCCTGATGGAGGGAGTTCTTAAGCCTTTGCCCAAGCTGAAGCATTTCCATGAGGTAACCAAGATGGGTCCCAGAATGGTCAAGGAAGTCACACCATCTTAATATAGCCACTGTTAAGGCTTGTTTTTCTAACAGCCGGCTCAGCTGGCCATGAGCACAGGAAGTGCCACAACTTCAAGGAGCTGGAAATGCTCCTTGACCTGACACCAGCAGTAATGGAACTTTCTGTTTACCAGTCATCTGCTCGGAACAAGCCACCTCTCCATGAGCAGGAGTCTTGGGGCAATGCTTTCCAGGAAAGGCATTCTTTGATCTTTTGTGGCCACAACGTTTGGCAACCCCTCTCAAGAAAGTTGTTCTGCTTCCTTAACTAAAGGTTTTATAATCACGTCAAAAGCTGCTTTCCCGGCCGTCCTGAAGCAGGAAGGTGATGAGAGAAGTTGTAGTGCGGGGAAAAGCAGGTCTCCACCCTCTAAGTTTTGACCCTGGCTTGGAAGCTGGTTTAGCGGGGTCATGAACAGGGCAGTTCACTTCCCTGATCCTAATTTTCCTTGGGACTACATGGAGGGAATTGGATCTTTCTGGCTCTGAAATTCTAATCTCATGAGGTCCCTCTGGAGTTCTGATTCCAGGACTTGGATCAACTTACAATAACCTCCAGAAACTCCTAGCACCACTGATTCCACAAACACTTGATCTATAAGACTCTATGCTAGGAAATTAATTTATGATAAAAAGAAAGGACCATGGGAGGTGGGCAAAATGGGTGAAGGAGGTCAAAAGGTACAAACTTCCAGTAATAAAATATATAAGTCCCGGAACTGTAACGTACGGTATGATGACTATAGTTGACAACACGGTTGCATGTTCAAAAATTGCTAATAGAGTAGATCTTAAAAGTTCTTATCACAACAACAACAAAAATTTTGTAATCATGTGTGGGGACAGATGTTAACCTGACCGATTGTGATGATCGTTTCATAGCGTGTAGAAAATAGTGAATTGTTGTGTTGTACACCGCGACAAACAGAATGTTTATGTCAATTATATGTTGCTCCAATCAATCAATCAATCCAAAATGGGACTGAATACAAGACCATGACAGGTTCCCCCAGGCTAACAACTCAGGCACAGAAAGGCACTGGGCTTTGGCACATACTCAGGCTGTTCATGACATCTCATGGAAAGGTTGAACTTATTTCCCTAACATCTCTGAAACCCCAGACAAGGTTCTAGGGTGGTTGTTAAGATTACTTCAACTGAACCATTCTCAAAAGACATCAAGGAATTCTTGACTTCTATCCTGACTAGGAAAAGATAAACACTGACCACAAAAAGAACTGGAAGACAGAGGCCAACAGGCTTCTAGAATCTTCTAGCACAAGAAATTTAGATAATCAGCAGTTGGGGAGAGAGTGATTTGTTTAAATTTTTTTTCCCTTTGTTCTTTTTCGGAGCCTCTATTTTAGGAATTGTTGAGCACCCATGAACATGCTCACTGTAAAACACTATAAAACTCTCACAGTTGAATTGGAATATGGTGACTTTAAAAGCTATTGTGGAACCTGAATTACCCAGCTTGGCACTTGTGTCATTCCTAAGTTCACATGATAAAACTGGAGTTGGCTTCCTGTGTTACCACCACTGACCCTCTGGCTTCGCCTCAGAATCCCATGGAAGTCCCCTGCCAGGTCAGCTATAGCAGGTGCCCAGAAGTCAAGCTCAGGTACTGGGACAGGGGGGCCAACTTAGAACCACAAACACTGCACTGGGGCAGGAAACCTGTTTTTAATCAGTCCCCACACCCCACCCCAGGTGATTCCAACATCAGCTAAAGCTTAAAAACCACAATTTATGGTGGTGGAAATTCTATGGGGACTACACCTAAGAAAAGAAAGCAAACATTGTTTAAAAATGAACAATGATGTAAAATATATACAAATAAAATTTATTTTTTTATTTTTTTATTTTTTTTTTGGTGGGACCCTCGCCGGCGGCAGGGGAACGAACCTGCGCTGCAGAGGCTGCAGGCAGCCCCGCAGCCCAGCGCGCAACAGCTGCGCCACCAGGGGAGGCCCCAAATAAAATATTTTTTAAAAAACAACACAATCTAGCCCAAGGGAAGAAAAAAATAGAATAATGAAAAATTTGTGCCCATGGAGAGGTATTCACCTCTCTGTGTTAAATGTAACTCAGGCCTCTCTGGCTCAAGCAATATATTGCTGACTCATTGGTTACTAGGGTGCAGACATTTTAAAGGATGTTTACAAATGTTTCATGAAAATCTGCGGTAACAAGCAAAAATGTGTATGTTTTGGTTTTAGTTAAAAATATCTGATACAATAAGGACATACTGGGTTAAAAAAGAAAACAACACCCAGACAGCTAAAAAGTTCACAAAAGAAATAACATGGGGAGAAGATACATCCAAGTGGTAACATGGTTTATACCCGGGGCCTAGGTCTTTAGATTTCACGCCTACTTTTGAGACTTTTCCAAGTTTTCCAAGATGCTGTCTACTACGCTGACAGTTGGAAAAGAAGGCAAAAGCCAACAAACTCATAACCAAAAAAATAAAAGGGCACATCTCTCAGCCTGTCCAAGAGAGGAAAAGGAGGAGCCCCCTGAGCCACTCAGCTCAGCTGCAAAGTCAGCTACGGCGGGTTCCCTTCCTTACTTCTCTCCCCGTCCCACGTTACGTGGCCTGGTGTGACACAAGAGCCTGCTGACCAGGGCGTTAAGAGCGCCCATATTGTGAAGAGGTGCACTTACAACTTGGGGATTTGACGGGGGGAAAGTCCACCCTATTGTTGGGACTCAGATAACCCTTCAGTAGTAGGGAAATAGCTGGGCTCTTCTTCAAAACTCCCATGGGGTGAGGAGGGGCAAAAACAGGTTGTTTACCCAGAAAACCTGGTTGTTGCTCCCAGTTTCTTTGATTAAGCCAGACCCGTTCTTAGGACTCAATCCATTCTTGCCTCCATTCAGCTTGCATGGGGCATTCTATGTGATGCAACTTAAACTATGGTTCACCTGGAGGAGTTGGGGGCTCCTGGAAATGATGCTGCTTCTTCCACCAGACAGAGGACACTGAGTGACCCCACCCCTTACCCCTCCACAGCCCCACCCCCAAGGTCATGAGGGCCTAACTACAGGAAGGTGGTCATCCGGGGATCCTCACCTGCTTGCCTCGTTTTCCTGGTCTTCCTGTGGGTCCACGGTGACCTGCTATCCCAGGCTCACCCTTTGGACCCATTTCACCCTGGAAAGAAGAGAGACAAGAGAGGAATTAGGGTGTGTGGATCAGGCCCAACTCCAGAGGGCTATAGGATCATGGGCCCCAAGGGTGATGGCCTTGACCATTCCAAAGATTCTGAGTGGGCAACTCTGGGAGATTGGGTGGGTGATGGGGTTATGTGAAAAGATATTGGCTTTTCTAGGAAGAGGAAGAAAAGGAGAAAGTTACCCTGGTGGGTGCTGTATGATCTAAGAGAGACAAGTTGCTGGGCATCATGTATTTGAGTGGCCCAGGTCACCGTGCAGAATGGCCAAAGCAGGAGACTCAGCTACCTCTCTCACATATGTGCTGTAGCACAACTGGTCTGGAAAAAATGTTTTCTCTTTTAGTTGAAATGTTATGTTGTGTTTTCTCTTGTTTTTAGCACAAATTCAATTCTAAGGGTTTTTTTAATAACTGGACATGATTTTGACAATTTTCATTTTGAGGATGTTTCTGCTCATTTAGGACCTTTTCTTGGAGTTCTATATTTCTCCCACTTGTCAGTAAAAATCAGATTGATTGCTATCCAGCACACTTCATTTAATTAGATGAAAACCCTTTGTGGGGCGAGATGTTGCAGAGTATGTTGGAACACAACATAATTCTTATGAAAGACAAGGAAAGCAATGTCATTCCTCATTGGAAAACCTGATTTTCAATTCTTTGAACCAACTGCAGAATTCCATAGTTAAAGGCCAACCTTTCCTAAACTCATTTCTCCATTTCAGTTTCTTTCCTCCTTCCTTGTGTTCGAGGAGTCTGGGCCCATTGGTTCTTTCTTTGGATCATGCACCCTCAGGCGTGGTTCCTGTCACCATTCACCCCTCAACAGTTTAGCACAAACCACCAAGATATATTAAGTGATAGCCACTGGGAGAAACGCCCTAAGTCAGTAGCTAGTGTGCATGAAGATCCGGCCCAGCCACTTGGAGAGAATGAGAAACACCCAGAGGGCTTTTCACATAGTCTAAGGAGGTCTGACCCATGGAATATTCCAGGGAACCCCAACATTCACTGGGGATCAACCATAAGACTCCGAAATTATCTGTCAGTTCAACCAAAGAATTGTCCCTGCCTAAGCTACCAACTTCTAGAATTGTCCTTACACCTGTACTTCTTTCCAAATTATGTCTTTCAGCACCCTGGGCAGTGAGAGAGTATAGGATGGTTTTATACAGCCATGGAGGCGCTTGCACAATTTTCCTTGGTTGTTTAAAGGGGGCACAAGGACATCTGGTTTGGCTGGGAGAAAACAGTAGCATGAACAGCATGTTTTTTTTTCTTCAAGAGATTATCAGAGAGAAGTGTGACCCTTCTCTTCATCGACTGGAAGCAGCCAGTAATTCCTTGATCTAATTTCTCTCCTAAAATTTGATTATGGTTATCAGATCATGTCTGTTTGAAGACAGCCTGTCATGAAAGGGAAGAAGGACACTAGATGGCAAGTCTAATAAATGGGGCAGAGGCCAGGGAAGCTGTCATAATTTTATAGTAATTTATTATTCTTTGATGTTCACTGCTGCACTGAATGAAAACCTAGCCTAAATATTTTAAAACCAAAATTTTCCTCTTTTGAATGTTTCCTTTAATTTGCTTGTATAATGAGTCTCTTCATTTTTCAATCCAACATACCACCTAGGGGAACAGGAACAGAGTTTTTGGCAGCTTAAGGCAGGGATGTATTATAATAATTCATGTCAGATAGTTAAAATTATAGTTAAAACATTTTAAATATGTTCTGCTGACTGGGGAAGGTCAGATAAAAGTGTTTATTCCAGTTTCAAACATAAAGGTGAATTTGAAAAAGAAATTTAGAATTCTGAGAAGGCATCCCATTTGCTTATTTAAAGGCTGTGAGGCTGAGGTTAAAATAACTTCCCAGGATGATTCCTGTGAGCATAAGTAACCACCTTCAGGAGGTTAGGATCTGTGCTAAGCAGCCCTTCATGTGCTCTTTCTCTTTATTCTCTGACACAAAAAGCACCCCCTTTTCCCCACCCCGTCTATCCTCCTTCTTCTAGCCCTAACCCTGAGGAAAAGTTTCCCAGAATCTGTCTCTCAATAGCCACCCTCACAATTCGTGTCATATCTATGCCATTGATTAAATACTTTTTCTTGAAATCAATGTATTTAAATCCTTTTTGATGAAGTCCTGTCGCAGGCAAGGAAGCCATAAAACCCTCTAAACATTTAACTATTTAAATTAAAACATAACTTGCAAAATACAGAATGTTTGCTGTCACCCTAACTGGGGTGTCCTTTGCCTCAGACCATCCTGCCACCCTCCCAATGTTTATGGCAACTTGCTCCCTTTCTAAACTAGAACCTTCCGTGACTGGGGACCCTAGTCCTCAGGGTCAAAGAGGCTCATTTTGTTCTGTTTGGAGGGGCTGACTTCTTACTGGGGCCACTCTGACGCCTTCTTGGTACTCACTTTCTGCCCCAACATGCCAGGAACTCCAGGAAAGCCCTGTGGAGAGAGCAACAGACACAGTGACCGCCTCCAGAATGCCAGCCGGGAAGGGCGCCAGTCACCTTCCACGCAGTGGGCGCCCTGTCACTCAGCCAGACCACTGGGGCGTGGGTGGGGGTCGCCACTCCCCTTCTAGTTTGCTATTGCTATGGAATGGCCATTACCTTTGCTCCTTTGGGCCCCAAGTCACCCCTTTCACCTCTGGATCCCTAGGAGAAAACCACAAGAAAGAGGCAGCAAATTAAGACCAACCACTAGCAGCAGGTCAAAACTATTTCAGACTTAAAGTGTCCCAAACCAACACCCTCATTTTCCAGGTTCAGAAATAGGCACTGCGCTTAGGAAGGCTTCCTGGTATGCCCAGGAAGAAATGCTTTGTGGTTCGCTTTCTATTTGGACCCCAAAGAGCTCTTGCATTAATAAAGGACAACTTGCAGAAAATTGTGAGTCTCAGATCCTCTCTCGTCTTAGAGGAAATGTCCCCAGGCCCCATGTAGGTTTTTTGTTTTGTTTTGCTGCTATTGATAGAGGCGGAGCTTGTGCAGTGGAGTTTGGTGTAAAGATGCAGTCGGCATCTGCCTCCTGCACCTGTCAGCAGCTGCCCTCTGTCCTCCAGCTCAGCTGCTCCATGTAAGGGGCCTCTACTCCTCCCCAGCCCCTTGTCCTGCCTCTAGAGGCCCCTGTCCTCTCTCTGTACCCACTGACAAAGGACAGGGGAGGGTCTAGGGATGGTCACTGTGGTCACTGACTAATGACAGACCTGGGTCTGTCCATTGTTCACCACAGAGCTGACTCCCATAGCAGGCTCTGGGAGCTATCAGAGACAAGCACTAACCTTTTCCCCTCTGGATCCAGGGTAGCCCTAAAAGAAAGCAGAAGGTGCATTTGCAATCAGCCCAGCCCTTAAAGTTTAGGGCACAAGCAGAAGGAATCCTGGCTGTGGTGGCCAGGGGTGACCCCACCAGGCTGCAAGCTTTAGTGGAGTTGCAGCAGTAAACACAAAGGCGTCCCTGAGTACTGTGTTTATACCCGGCCTAAAAAGAGCATTGCTTTTCTTACCCCCTCCCCTGACCTTTGGCAACAAAGGTTTCCATAAGCTTTGGTACCAGAGGATAGAGGGTTAACCTTCACTGCCCAGGAAAACAGAAGGAATGGCATCCCTATGGCCCTCTGTCCCAGGGCATGAAGTTCCCCACGGCCTGGTAAAGGCAAGCATTCTGCCAGGGATGTCAAATATCTGTACCATTCCCCAGCCCAGGATGGCAACCCCACCCAGCCCCCATCTTCATGAGCTGCAGAACTCCAGATTCTTAGTGAAAAGACCTGGGGACACCCATCTGGCCCACCACACTGACCTTGAAGCCCATTGGTCCTCTTGACCCTGGCAAGCCCATGATACCCAGGTCACCTTTTTCACCCTGCATTAGAAGAAAAAAAAAAAAAAAAAAAAGACTTAGAGTGACATCCCCTAGGGAAATGGAGCCAGGAGGGTTATGGGCAAGATTGGGGTGAAACTGGGCTGGTTTGTGAACTGAGGTCTCCAAACGCTGCCTTGCTTAACAGGGCTCCATGCTTCATACTTCATTGTGGTATCTTAGATTAACTATAATATGAAATTGTCCAGGGCAGAGCAGACTTCCAAATTAAATGCTAACTAGATATTGTACAGGAACAGCACCTCTGGCCTACACCCCAGTTCTTGTATGCATAAATAAATAAAATAAATTTAAAAAAAGTAAAACGAAACAAGTGAAATTAATTTTAACAAATCAATCTTACATCATTTCAACATATAATCAACATAAAAATTACTAATGAAATAGTTTACACTGCTTTTCATAATAAGTATTTGAAATGTGTTGTATATTTTTATATTTAGCTAACATCTCAATTCAAGTGCTCATTTTTTATCCAAAATAATTAATTCTTACTAGATTTCATAAAATTCAGAGTTGAAAAGCAGATTCCCACACTCAGGTTGCTCTAAACATGCTGAAAATTTTCCAAATAACTGAAGTGAGTCAAGATTTGTAAATTCACACTTGGTGTTCCTCAGTTACACTATATGCATCTCAAGACCTCATTGGCCACAGGGCTCGTGGCTGCCATATTGGACAGCTGAGCTCTTAAGGGTGATTTTTAAAAGAAAGAATCTTAGGACTTTTTCAAAGAGGAGGAGCAATACAGCTTTCCATTCCCATTTGAAAATAGTCTGTAAATGACCCAGAGCTGATAGTGACATTCACCTGCCCACTCCTGCATTTACATTTGCAAGTAAAATTTCCAGCCACACCCTGCACCCAAGTCTGTGGCTGACAAGGAGAAGAATGTAAACAAAGGCATGGGTGTGGATGTTAGCTGTCAGAACCTGTGTGAGAAAGGGGATTTCATCAGCATTTCTGATCCCTCTCAGAATGCAGGATTTCAATCATGCCAGCTTCTAACATCCACCCCCTCAACCCTCCATTCTCTGCCCCATCAGACTGACTGGCCCACAGCTTTCCAGACACAAGACCCTCTGGGGTCATCTCAGGAAAGCCACAGAACTGCTTGCTAACTCTCAGGACAAACGAAAAACAGGACGTCGTGAAAGTGGGGAACAGTCCCCTTTCTGCTCCGATGGAGCAGAACTGTTGAACTGACCAGGTCTGGCACTGCAGGTGAAGGAGGAATTGTTTGGGGATCTCTGGGCCATCCTCATGTCTCTTCCTCTCTTTCTTGTGGAAGCACATTTTACTAGGTGCGGGGCGCCAGGGAGCCACCACTTTCTCCCCTCACATCCTGATAACCCACAAGCCCCAAGAGTCTGCCAACTTACCCTGGGTCCTTCAGGGCCAGGTGAGCCAATAGGCCCAGGCATGCCAGGAACACCTGGGGGGCCAGGTCTACCCTTCAAAGATGAAGAACAAAAGTCAGGACAACTGGGCTTCTTTCCTTCAGGGAAATAAGACTGGTCTTGGGGCAGGAGGGGAGTTTGGGGTCTCTAGGGCTGCCCCAAGACCCTTATCCTGATCCTTCAGAGACTGACAGGCTAGGAAGTCGGGTCATTTAGGGACAAGTCAAAACCTCACTGTAGGCACACGAAGTCTTATTCTACCCAAGTACAGAAGGTGGGAGGAAGGGTTTCTAAAGTTGGTTTTTTGACCTTTATCCCCTCGTTGCTCTACAACACACCCACCTACCCACCTAAATGTCCTCTGCATTCCAATAGGCTTTTCCCCAGGGATGAGGTGTGGAGTGTGATGGGACAGGAAGGCATGGCGGATGCTGTTGGGATGCCCTCCAGATCTCTTTTACCAGCTCAGTGTGCCCATTCCCCAGTTGCTACCCTCCCTGTTGCCACAACCCTGTCTGGCAACCTGCAATTGTGGATCTGCCCACATTGGGCAGTTGGAGCTGCGTGGCATTTTATGTTCCTCCTCTGCCTGCAGCCACAGGCTAGCTCTCTGCCCTCACACTTTGTGGTGTAGTAACACTCCAGATCTCCCCCAAAAGTGAGGTTGAACAAATGTTAACTGATACCTTGCCGACCCTGGGCTTCACCCCCTGCCCTGCGGGTATCCCCCCGCCCCCACCTCAGCTCCTCTAAAGTGTGCTCCCTTATCAAACACTGGCACAGGGCACCAGTCTCTGCTTCTAGGGGGCCCAGCCTAAGTCAGGGGCCATAGAAAAGCAAGTCCTGCAAAAGAGAGTGGGACCAGGGACTTGGGGGCTATCTTGACCTCTGTGCCTTGTACCCACGGTTTTCCTAGCTAGAAATGTGGATGGCCCAGCCCCTAAAACAGAGATCACAAATGAGGGCCCATGTACTGGTTTCTGTATCTCACACCCATGGTAGCGAAACAAAAAATGTTTGCTGTCACCCAGCTGCAACGACTATGCTCCCACACCCTGGTGGACACCGTTCATGAGTTATGTCCCTTGCTAGTCCTGTGCTGGTGACCACCCCCAAATCCTTTCCACCCAGCACCCTACTTGTCATTTGTGCCCTAAGCATTGAAATTTTGCCTTGCAGACCTGTCAGAGGTTCTTGTTGGCAGAGAAAAAATTTGAATGAAACGCTCAACCAGAAAAGAGTCGTTGTGTTTTTAAACACAAGCGTTTTTCTTGGCCTGAGTCATGCACCCCCTTCTATCAGCAAGACCTACAATTTCAGTTCCTGTCAGTCGGTGCAACCGTCCACCACATGAGGCTGCTGGTTTACTCCATCCTGACTCAATGAGAGTCTTAATAACACGTGTTTGGTTCACTCAGCATCCCCATGACCTTAAGTAACCCTCGTTTATTTCAGCTGGACCAGAAAGCAAATGCCATTTGTTTCGGTCTGTCCTGGCACTTGATTCCAGTTTAATCAGATTGACTGTGAGTCATTTTGTGCTACTGGTTGGGCCTTAAAAGGGCTTCTCTGCTGGGTGGCAAGAAGAGATGGTCTGAGGCTGGGGGAAATTGAACCAGGCTTGCAGCCTCTGGCAGGAGTCCGAATGCCTGGCACTAGCGGGTTCCAGTTCCTGGCTGAAAGGGTCAAGGGGATAGAGCGGGATTGCCACCATCATCCTCGGGAGGGCAGGGCCATCGCTGCCCACCAGTGTGGTTCCCCCACCCTAGGGGTGCACGCACACTCACACGCATGTGCATCAAAGCTGCCCGTGAAATGCTGACCGAGCAGCGTGGACCATACCTTCCTCCCGGGTCGGCCAAGCTCCCCCTGTGGATGGAGAAGACACGTTGTAAGCAGAGGCTGCTTTGGAAGAGAATTTCTGGAAGCAGAAGGCTGAGCAGGCTGCGAACTGGGTATGAGCCTGTGGCATGGCTGCTTGGCAGCTGACAGCACCCAGCCCTGCCAGGGGGCCAGGCAGACAGGCACCCTTGGATCCCACGCCTGCAGGGCAGCCCGGTCACCCTGGACTCATCCACACATGCCAAGGCTCTGAAACCTCAACCAGAAAACTGTCAGCTGCACCCCAGAAAACAGACTGGGATTACTAAGGAGAGGTAGAACAAAGAAAGTAGGGGATCATACCTTTTCTCCCTTTGGTCCTGTCCTGCCGGGAAGCCCTGGTGGACCCTACATAATGGAGATAAGAAGTGAAGAAAGGATACATCAAGTCAAGGCATGATAGAGGCAAGGGAGGCGGGACGGGGAGGGGGTCTCCATGCTGACTCAGGCACTGCACAAGGAGCTCTTTCATGCCGGCTAGTCTCCACACCCCCTCTGCTAGCTTCCTCTGAGCTGGGTTTCCAGTGACACCACAGTTGCAATGCTTGCACATCTTCTCTGTGATTTTAATTTTCTCCCTGGGACCCTTGGGTTTGCTAAAACATCTCCAGTGCTTGGAAAGAGCAACAAGTCTTAAAGAAACGCTGTTTGCTGAAAACAAGATGCTTCCCCCTGCCACCTGTCAGGTCTTTCTAGATCTTTCTATAAACCTGGGGGGAGGAGGGTTAGGTGGCAAAAATGGGCAAAGGGGGTCATTTGTGGTGATGATGGAAAATTAGACTTGGGGTGGGATCACGATGTGGTGTATACGGTGAATTATAATACGGAACACCCGAAACCTGACATTTTATAAATCAAGGTTACCTCAATACAAGTTTTTTTTTTAAGAATGTGGGGGAGCAAACTGTGCATTTTTTTGTCCCAGGCCCACCCATAGGCATGGGGCCAACCAGTTCAGGGGTCACAGCGCTTGCTGCACTGAAGCTGGGTACATCTTACTGGAGGCAGCTGCCTTCTGCCCGTGTGTCTGTGACTAGCTCAGAGGGCTGACTATTTTCCAAATTCCCCAGAATAGCAGAGGGAAAACCCATCAAATCCCCCCTGGCCAGTACTTCACCCCCAAGATCTGCAGGTGAGCAGGTTGACACAGCCTGTCTGAACTATGAGACTTGGCTACATGACAAACAGCCCCTTCAGCCAGTTCCTGGACGTATGTGCACGTAAGATAAGTCATTTAAAAGTCCCCAAGGCCAAGCCACACCCCAGACCAATTACTGAATGACAATTTTGGGGAGATGGGGGATTTTCGAAGTTCTCAGATAATTCTAATGTGAGATCAGTTAGGGAACCACCACATTTGCCTAGTTCTTCGGTCGTGGGCAGGGGTGATGGAGTTTTGTTCTGTTCTTATTCCCAGCCTCAGTTTTTTCTACTTCTTGAAATGCACTAGAACGATCTGAACAGGTCTTATGCACTAGTTCAGCGCTTCTCAAACTGAGGGCTGCCCAAGGTCAGCAGAGAACCTCCCCCTTTCTCTTCCAGGCTCTGTGGGGTCTCATAGGTCCTGAGAGTTGTTGGTATAGACTGGGGGAGGATAGAAACCCACCCAAGAGGTGGTGCCCACCTTGGACCTCTGCAGACCTTGCAGCCCCTCCGTGGCAGCTCTGGCCCACGCTGGGTTCAAATCCTGGGTGTTGTTGTTGTTTAATGCATTCAACAGATATTTGTGAGAACCTATTACAACTTGCAAGGGAGCAGACTAGGCACAGACCAGGGGGTGGTAGACTTTTCCTGTAAAGAACCAGCTAGTACATATCTTCAGCTACACCTGCAATAAGGCAGCTTTAATACAACTGTCGTATCTGCCTTTGCAAAGCAGAAACAAGCCAGAGATAACAAAACAAGCTGCCACCAGATCTGACCCATGGGCCATAGTTTGCCAACCTCTCAAGAAAGTCTATATTTTGGAGGGGGCAGGGGTGGGGAGGAAGAGACCAGGAACAAAAAAACATGTAAGAAAACTGTAATGAGACAAGAAAATGATGCAGTAAATTAAAACAGGTCCCTGCACCGGGTGCAGAGTGGGTGGGGAAGCATGTCTAAGGAGGTAAGCTGTGTGCTAAGTGACAAAGGAGCTGGCCATGGTGAAAATCAGAGGGAAGAATATTCCAAACAGGTGGAAACATAGCGCAAAGGTCCTGAGGATTTAAGAAGTTTGAGGACCCAAGAAATGCACTGTGGCTGAGTGGAATGGGCAATGTTGGGAGTGTGAGATGACATAGGAGGTATAGGCCAGGATCCCCTCCTGGGGGGCTTTGGAACCAGAGTAAAGAGTATCTCTTAGTCTCCCCATGGTGGAAGCCACAGGAGGGACCACCAGGAGGGGTGGCATAATCCCTAAGGCACCTGGGAACCTGCGAGTCCTAATACCCTCGTTCCCTCCCCCAGCAGGTCCAGTGCCTCTGGACCAAGGGGAGCTCTTCTTTGATGTTTTCTTTGATGGCCCTTCTCCCCTGGGCAGTCAGAAGTCTGTGAGACTCCTCCCTGAGGAGTCAGAAGTCTGTGAGACATGCTGGTTTCCATAGAAAATCCTTTCTGAGGCATTCTGCCTTCCCTAGTCTTCCCTTTAGCTTTGATGGGAAAGGGTGGGGGCCACTTGGTAGCAATATCTGGGGGCCAAATGGGCTCAGAGTAACAGGTTCCTCTGAATGCAGACACCCCTAGGTCTAACGGTGGGGCCAGTGGTCACATGTAGAGTAACTATAATAATAAACCAGACCCATCTATGCAGCACCTCATTTAGTCACCGCCCCCCAAATCCTATACAGCACTGCCGAGAGGAGGAAGTCAAGACAGGACAGCCAGAGTTCAGGCTTTGGCTTTGGAGCTGGATGGGAGCTGGAGATGGAAAAGCACCCGTTTCATGTTAAATGGAAGACCCCACGAGACGCTGCCCAGTGGGCTTCACTGCTCTGGGCAGAATTCAGCAGAAGAGAGTCTGGTGGGAAGCACCAACCTGGGGGCCAGGAGGTCCAGGAGAGCCGAGTGATCCTTGCACGCACGGGGGTTGCGTGCTCTCGAGTTCTAGGATGAGATTCTTCATGTCTGGGGAGAGAAGCTTCAATGCAAGGCAACACCAGGTTAGAGGTTGGCCTTAGGGGAAAGAAGCAGAGAGTCACCACCCTGCCCCACAGTCCAGTTGCCAAGATCAGGGGTTCCCTGACACCCCCATGGTGTCCCAAGCAGATAGCATTCTAGGTTCTGTTCTCTTCTCTGCTCTCGACTTGAGCTGAATGGGTTACAGAGATAAAGCTGCCACTTTGGATGGAGTTAGGAAACTCCCTTTGGGGAGGGGGGAATCTTTTCTCCAGTGTCAAAGATAGTATTGCCAATAGAAATAAAAAAGCGAACCACCGACACCAGCTATGTAGTTTTAAATGTTCTGGCAGCCACTTTCAAAAGGTAAAAGGAAAGAAGTGAAATTAATTTGAATGCATATTTTATTTTACCCAATATTGTATGTATTTCAACGTATATTCAGTGCAGAAATTACTAATGAGATAACTTGCATCCTTTCCCCTATCTAAGTCATCAAAATTCAGGTGTGTTTTATATATACAAAACATCTCAGCTCCAACTAGCCACATTAGGGGTCTCCCTGGTGGCACAAGGGGTTAAGCACCACACTACAAAGCAATCAGCAGCCTCTGCAGCACGAGTTTGATCCCGGCCGGCCAGGGAAAAACCCACATGGCACGGCAGACCTCTCCTGTCTCGCCCGCTGCTCCCCTCAGCAGTATATTTCAGTCAGTCTGCCTGTTCTGTTCCCCACTCTGTCTCTGGTGAATCCTCTTACCCTCCCGCATCTCTGGCCTGTACCCCAGCTCTTGTATACATAAATAAATAAATCTCAAAAAAAAAAAAAAACTAACCACATTAGCATGCTCACCAGCCACCTATGGCCGGTGGCTACTGTATAATAAACAGCATAGATCTAAGAGTTTCTGGAAAGATCTGAGAATCCCAAGTTCCCACAATGTCCTGACCTAGTGCCTTCTAGTTCAGCCTCCCAAATCCTTCTCTTTTCCTGCCTTCCCAAATTCTGTTCCCTTCATACCTCAACCACACAAGAACACCTCCTCACCACAGTTTACCTCAGATACCAGCGGTGGAAGGGAATTCTATAGAGATTAGGGGAGAAGAAAAAGGCAAGGGGAAATTCCACATCTGGGATGTTGATGGGAGCCCAGAAAGCTATAAATTCACCTCATTGTTCTCAAGAAGATGGGACACTTGGCCAAATCCAGTTTCCTCTAGCACTTATTTTTTTTTTAATTTATTTTATTATTTTTTATACAAGTACAGGCCTGGGGTACAGGCCAGAGATGCAGTGGGTGAGAGGATTCACCAGAGACAGAGTGGGGAACAGAGCAGGCAGACTGACTGAAATACACTGCTGAGGGGAGCAGCGGGCGAGACAGGAGAGGTCTGCCGCGCCGTGTGGGAATCTCCCTGGCCAGCGGGGAATCGAACCCGCGCTGTGGAGGCTGTGGACAGCTTCACAGCACTTCTCTCAACCCACTGCGCCACCGGGGATGCCCCCTCTATCACTTCTTCAGGAATGGACACACACCCGCGACGGCAGAATGTCGGCTCCGGGGCTCAGCCTGCTGTGTCAGAGCGAGGGTTGATTCCCTCAGAAAGGATTCTGGTGGGAGCAGGCTTGCAGAGGTGGGTGGATGGGGCAGGCTGTGGGGTGGGCTCTGAGACGCCCCATGGCTGTTCTCACTTACTCACCGGACTTCGGTCCCCTCTGAGAAAGGGTGGTGGGAGCAGTGGGGGTGGAGGGGGTGTCAGCAGGCAGCAGGCTTTGTGGCAGCCCCGCTTCTTCTGATCCAGGCCGGGAAGGGCTGTTGAGAGAAGACTTTGCTCATTAGTGGGGGTGGGTATTGGGGCTTCCTTCATGCCCACTGTGCTCAAGGAGGCCCAGCTGCGGTTTCTAGTCTAGCCTATCAAATGTGAGCCTGCCTCCCATGTGCTACTTGACATAGCGCCCCCTGCCTTTGATGAATAAGATGGCTGGGCCCTGGGGCCATGACAAGGTCCATTTCTCTGACCCGGCTTGCCTTTACTCTTGACCTCCAACCTCTATTTTGGCCGGAACATCTCTTTGTATTGGGCTCTTATTTCACATATCATGACTGGGACCCTGAATGCCTGCCACCTTTCCAGCCACGTTCTCCTCACTAGGATGGTCTTGCCGAGGTTGCCCAGGCCAAGCTCAGGCTGGTGTTTGGCAGAGTCTCTGGGCTGCCGCTGTTGTCTAACGGAGACTCTGAGAAGCTTCTCTGGCAGGGGGCAATAGCAGTCAGGCACTCCAAGGACGTTAAATATAGCACAGAAGCAGGAAGTTTCAAGGTGAAACTTCTTTTGGGGAAGGAGGCTTCTGACAGAACTGGGGGAGGGGGTTAAGGAGGGTTGAAAATGTAGTTTGGAGCTAGATTATGCAATTTAGATGCCCACAATGGGGTTGAGCTTTAGTAAAAACGTAGTAGAGAGAGCCACGGAAGGTGTTAGCAAAGGATGTTACTGGAAGATTCTGTGTAGGAAAAGGTGCAGAGGGCAAGGTGAGCTGAAGGACTTGGGGTCAGGCAGCAGGTAGGATATTGGGTGTCCTGTCAGGGTCTGACTGAAAGCAGTGAGGACATAAAGGAAGGGACTGATGCAAACATTACTGGGAGAACTAAACTGGGGGCACAGTGTGCTGTCACCATGAAAGAGGAGGAAGAATCAAGGGTGATTTTGATGTTGCAGGGACCTGGGGTAATAGTGGACAGAATATGAAGTGGAGAAGTCCCCACTAGTTTGTGGGGAAAGCTGCTGAAGTTTAGTGTTAGATATTTGTCCATTTGAGCATATGCTTTGCCTGGTACTGGGTCAGGTCTTGTGAGGAATGGGATACAGGAAGATGCCAAAACAGTACCCCAGACCTGTGGATGGTAAGGCCTGTGGAGCTTAAGTGACTGTCAAGGTCCTTTGACACAGTCTCACTCTGCCCTCTCACACACAGCCCAGTCCTGGACAGTCTTACTTATTTATCAAAAAAATGTCAGATGCCCCCTCCACCAGGAAGCTTTCCTTGACTTCCCAGGCCAAAGTTAAGTGGTCCTGTTTTTCTCTAGTTTCACCCTGTGTTAACTCTCATTTATGGGGAGAAACTATTTCCTTGCATCTCCTTGATTAAATTGTGCTTTCTGGGAGAATAAGAGCCAGTTTTTATCCCCAGGGTCTAGCACATTGCCTGACATACACTATATATTCCTTTCATGTTTGCTGAATGAATAATAATATTAACAAATGATATTAATAATGACAAAATACCACCACATGCCAGGTACCATTTAAATGCTTCACACATATATATTCACCTAATTCTCATAGCAATTTTGAGGGTTAAGTGATACTGTCATTATTCTCCTATTCCCATTTTATAGACCAGTTCACTGAGACAAAGAGGAGAAGCAACTTACCCATGGTCATACAACAAGTGACACAGCCACGATTTGAAGCCAGCATCTGGTTTCAGCATCCTGCCTTTTGCTCTCCACACTGAGACTGCTCACTGGTGGAGAGAGGTCAGGAGCTAAGAAGGAGGCAAGAGGCTCCCATAGCAATGGCCTGAGATGCTAGTGTGACCCCAACCAAAGACCAACAGAAGCACACTGAGTTGGCTCCATCTACCCATTGCACCAGCGGGCCTGTGGGGCATGTTGGGAAGCAGGTGTTGGAGGGGATTTATCCCAGGATTTGGGCTTTTTTCAAGATATTAGGGAGATTGTGAGAAAGTAGAGTCTGGCTTTGCACTTCATGCATGCTGTGAGGAAGCTTGGGCTGTTCTTTGACTATCTTAACTCTTATCTAGAAGGAGAGATAACTCAAGTCAGGCCGAAGCTGTGGTAGGCAGTGGTCACTGACAGCAGCAAGGAAAGAGAGTCTGTTTTTTCTGTGTCTGACATGGTGTCCGGGTGACCTTGTTCTTGTCTTGAGTCCTTGTGGTCAGAGTGGCCTCATCTGACGTTGTTCTGTGAAATTGTTTATGTTCCACATGGCCTGGCTGTGGGTGGCAGCTCCAGGGGCTGCTTCTCAGTGGCAAAATACTCTGCTAAAAACTTGACACTGATGGAGCCTCCCCGGTGGCGCAGCAGTTGAGCACTGGGTTGCAAAGCTGCCCCCAGCCTCTGTAGCACCGGTTCGATCCCCGGCCACCAGGCGAGTGTCCCACATGGCGTGCAGACCTCTCCTGTCTCGCCTGCTGCTCCCCTCAGCAGTGTACTTAGGTCTTTCTGCCTATTCTGCTCCCTGCTGTGGCTCTGGTCAATTCTCTCACCCTCCTGTGCTTCTGACTGTACCCAGTGCATGTATAAATAAATAAATAAATAAATCTTAAAAAAAAAAACACTTGACACGGATGCCGATGTTACTCCTCTTCACATTTCTCCAAGTTTCTTTCCTTGAATTAGAGTGAGGTGTGGCCAGGCTTCTACAGGGTCCTGGGTATGTTTTGTAACATACGGAGGCTGACCACACACACCGACACTCTAGTCCCCTCCCCAAGGCCCCAGCTACAGTTTCTCTCTTGTCTCTCTTTTGTCCCAACAGACAGCTAAGGTCTGAGGCTGAGATTTTCCACAGACCTTCTCCTAGCACCTGGGAGGCTGGCATGTTCACATGGCTAATTTATTCCTTGCCATACTCCTTGCCATTTATTCTAGTTCGTATATGGCCTCCAGCACTCACCCCAAAGACTGTGTGGTCTTCCACTGCCGAAAGACCCCGGCTTGTTTAAAGCCATTATATCTCTTGTGTCTTCCTGGAAATTGGGGAACTCTTCAGTGAACAAGTCATTGGTTGCTTTTCCTGCTGGGGCATCTGCATGGTCCACCCTCCCTGCCCCTCCTCAGCCTTTGCCCTTGACCTACTTCATCTTCAGCAGGTGAAGACCATCTATTTTGACACCCACCCCCTCCCTGGAGGTGTTTGTTTTTAGCATGGTCTGGTTTATTTACAGCTCATTCCAGCGCAGAATATTTCCATCAGGTGGATGTGTTTGGGAACAGCTTTCCCCTCCCCCGCTCCCAGTTAACTAAGCCAGGACTTCGCATGTCTATTTTGGTGTCATCTGTGTGTGGCCTGTGGGTCTCAGGACTATGCTGCCTCCGGGGGAGTCGTGTCTGAGCCCGGGGTCCAGCCTGGAAAACCCCAGGAGGCTCTGCTGTAATGGAAACAACTGCACACCCCAGCATGTGAGTGTGTGCACACAAAACCCCGGATGTGCCACATGGCTCAGCCTCAGGCAGCCTGGGGATTTCGGGACTGCTTGCCCTGGCTGAAAGACACCAAAGTCACATTGCACGTGGCCCCTGCTGTGCCACATTGCGGGTGTGGGGGTGGGGAGAACAAAGCTGAGTCAGAATCAGGCTTTTGGCAGTTGTTAGGTTTATAGGGTTTTGTTGTTGTTATTTGTTTGTTTGTTTTGCTGTCTTCACGCTGATTTTGCCCTTTGGACTCAACACCCCCTTGACTCTTAGGCATATCCTTGGAAAGTGATTCACTCCAACCCACTCTTGGGAATATAGGGACTTGGGTCCGAGTGGGGGTCTGTGTGCAAGTGACCATATGTCGCATTCCTTCAATCTGAGACTCAGTTTCCTCATTGGTACCACAAGTTTGACCCCAGCCATCTCCTTTTATGCATCTGACCCCAGACACACCACTGGGACTGTCAGCAATTCCCACTCACCAGGCCAACCCATCTGTAGGGTAGGAGCGGCAGCCGTTCCCACTGCTGCCTCCTGCTTTTGCATCAAGGAACCTCCCTCCCCTATCAAGCAAGTGTGTCATTAGAAAACACCAAAGGAAAGAAGTGACTGAAACCTTTCCCTCTGCAGCCTGGAAGGTTATGAGTGCAGCTGCACGCTACCTGTGCTGTGCAGATAGTGGCCTGTTCAAATCTTACCTCTGCCTCCTCTTGATCTGGGGCCTTCCCCTGCCCACTGGAACCTGCACCAGAAGAGAGGAGTGGAGAGGACCTGGCACCACTGAGCATGCTGGTGGCTCAGCCATGGTGACACTCTCACATTGCCTGGCTGCAGCTGACCTCAAGTGTTGTGATCCCTGATTCACCTATTCCAGGGAAGGCTGCATCCTGCAACTTCCCTTCAGGCCTGCACATCTGCCTCACATGCTTCAAAAAACTGATTCTAGACATTGAAGTTATTTGAACTTCTCTGAAAGATCACAGGAAGGATTTACAATTTGCCTCTAAGCTGCCCAGGGGGCAGGTGAGGACACAGCCTACAAAGAAAAGCATTTGCCCCTTTGGTGGCTGCTGCCCCATGGGCAGCAAACTGCACGGCCCCAGCCAGCCCGCCTGGACAGTGATGGAGAGCCAGCCGCTGCCAGGGGTGGCCCGACCACAAAACACGCCGTTACTGCAAAGCCAAGGCGCAGCAGCTGCCAGCCTGCCACCCTGAAGTCAAGGGCACAAGAGAGGAACACACGTGTGCACACACACCTGAGCGTGTCTGCCCAGGTCCCCACCAATTCTACCAGCGACCCCCCCTTTATGCTGTGACCCCAACATTGACCGAGAAGTTTAAGATTTAGTTTGCTCAAAGCTGCCAGAACAAGTCTGCTTCCCAAGAGTCATTTTCCAAATCAGTACACACACACACACACACACACACACACACAAACTCACACACAAACTCACCCAAGCAGCAGACCGAGTAACAGAGCAGTCCTGAAATGGAGAGCAGATGAGTGAGGCTGAGGGATGGGCCGGTCATCGTGGCCAGAGCCCAAGGCGGACTGGCCCCAGAACACATGCTGGAGACAGGCTGCGCTTCGTCACGCCCCCGAGGTTCCCAGCGCCGGCCTGCTGGGCATTTGGGGTGGGAGCCGGCCAATCCCGGCTTTGGTGTTGCTTCTGCCTCAGATGCCAGGGGTCCGTCTGGAGGCCAGGGCTGAGCTCCTGGGAGCAGGGCTGGGTAGGCAGCCCCGCTCTGGCCTCTCAGGAGGCTGTACTGGGGGCGGCTTGGGAGAGGAATGGAGCCCTCAGCCCAGGGGAGGAGGTGAGGTTGGGAGCCAGCAATACTGAGCACCCCTGCAAGCCGGGAGGAAATGGAGTGTAATCTGTCCAACAGGCTGCTTTTCATTCGGCTCAAAAACTGCCCTGTCAATACTGTTCTGGCAAGCCTCAAAGTCAACCCCCACTGCGATTGTCCTCCAGGAGTCTGCCTGCTCTGCCTCAGGGAAGGTCTCAGCTGCCAGGGGTCTCTGCTCCCGCCACATGTGTGCCAAGGTGCAGGCAACAAAGTCAAACTTAATAAAAAATATATATCTGTCTATATCTAGATAGATATTTCCGAAGAGCCGGTGGGGCCAGCCCTTTTAGATGAAGCCTGCCTATAAGAGGACAAATGGTATATACCAGCTACATACAGAAATCTGTCTGTGCGGCACAGGCCCACCTAATGCACAGGCATGTGCCCACATGCATGACATTCTACATGATAAAAGACAAGGTTATTCATGTTTGTCATACTTAGCAATAGGCACTGTGGTTTTAGCCAGCTTCATAAAGACCATAAGCTATAGCAGAAGTCAGCAAACTTTTTCTGGAAAGGCCTAGATAGTAAATATTTTAGGCTCTGTGGCTCATCTGGCCTCTCCTGCAACACAGCTCCCCACAGTAGAAGAAAGCAGCCACAGCCCAAACCCTAGGAACAAAAGAGGTGGGGTACAGACACAGGAGGCAGGCTGGATGGACCTGCTGAACCCTGAGCCATAGCCTTCAAGAGAAAGGCCCTGTCCTGTAATCATTCATTCACTGTTTCATTTACTCAGAAATACACATGGGATACCAGTGTGTGCAAGACACAACGACACAGCTCCTGTCCTCGGGATGTGGCATCCAGGGTTTTGGAAAGAGTACAGGCCCTGGGGTCAGGCAAACTTGTGCTGGAGTTCTGGCTAACATGGGGCTGAGGTGTCTAGAGGAATTTACAGGAGGAAGTGATGAATACCTGAGTGTGTGTTGTGGGGGAAGGGTACAAGTGAGCAATCAGGGAAAGCTTCCTGGAGGTGATATTTGCACTAACCGTTGAAAACAGAGAAGATTTGCTGGAACCAAAATGGGAAGAGTAAGAGGGAAAAGGAGTCGGCGCAGTTCCTTCCCTAGGACATTTCCCTCTGTTCCCCGAAGTGCAGATTCTTTTAGAAAGCAGCACTGAGGGCATGGAGCACTCAGTCCTGAATCCCAGCCGGTTGCAGAATATCATCTGCATCATCTTCTCCTAAATTCCCCTGTGCTGGGTCCTATTTCTGCAGCTTTTTGTTTTTCAAATTCATTTCAAAAACTCTTGGAAGTGGAGGGTTTTGCTCCTTTTAGTCCCAAGTGCATTTTTTTTTTAGCCATTTAGCACTAAGTTCTCCTAAAAAGGTTTATACACATAAACTGTGTATACTCATATACTCATCGGTACTTTGTTTCATTATTGTAAAAATGAAGGTGACAGGACTAGATGATCATAGCTGGAGTCCTCTTCAACTCTGCAAATGTTTGTCTTTTTCCTGACCCGTTACTCGATTTCTCTATGTTCCACCTATATGTGATACCACCTGATCGTTCCTTTTTTCCTGCTGACTTATTTTGCTCAGCATAATCCCTTCCAGTTCCATCCATGTTGCTGCAAATGACATACATTTGTCTTTTTGATTGCTGAATAGTATTCCATTGTGTATATATACCACATCGTCTTGATGCATTCATCTGTTTTAGGGCATTTGGTTTGCTTCCATATCTTAGCTTTTGTAAATAGTGCTGCAATAAACATAGGTGTGCAGGTTTCCTTTCAAATTGTTGTTCTTTCTGTCTCTGCAAGTGTTTGAATCTCTGTTTAGAACCTGATGATTTGAGTTCACGAGTGTGTCTGTTTCTTTCCTATGCTTCTCTCCTTCTGTTATTCTCTTTTCTGTCTCGTTCTCATTATCTCTGTATCTTTGTCTCATTATCTCAAATGTCTCACACTCTAAGCACTAATAGTTCAATTTCCTTAAGTTAAATAGCTGGATGAAGGCTCAACTACTTTTAACTACCCTTCAGTCAAGCCAGCTAGCCTGGTCTCCAGTCCTGGCCTGGGTAGTAACTTGCTGTGAGACCCTGGACAAGTCACTAACCCTCTGGCCCTTGGTTTTCCCAAATGTAAAATGGGAGCATTGGACCAGATGGAGCTTGAAGCCCTTTTCAGCTCTGGCTCCTACCAGTCCTATGACTCCTGAGACACAAATTGTCCTCATATGGTCCTGGACAGGGATGGAGGATCTGTCTCCTGCCGTGCCATGGCAGGAATCCTTGCTCTCAAAGTGGCCGGCCTGCCGAGTACCCTCAGGTTCCATGACCCAGGCACCAGCTCCCAGCAGAGCTGCCCACAAAATCTAATTCAGAATTAAAGTTTCCAGAGCCTTCCTGCAGCTGTCAAAAGGTGTCATATTCACAGTATTATGTCTTAATTGAAGCTCTGGGATGTATCAACCAGGCCAGAAGACCACTTCTGGAATACCGCTTGCCCGGGCACTGTTCCAGAAGCTCCTGTCCCCACTGCTGCCATACACAGACCTGCTCCCTGCAGTGCTGGCCTAAGTGGCATCTGCTTTGTATCTCCCCCTTTTGTGTCCCCCACCCCTCTGCACAGAGAGAGGGTGAGGACACCCTGAGGAGCCAGAGTTCCCAGAGTGAGGCAAAGACACCTTCAGGTTCAAGGGCAGAGTCATTGGTACCATCTGCCCCAGGGCACCTTGAGTCTGTTGTCATATTCCCAAAACCTGGGCAGGGTGAAGAGGCTGGAGATGCAGGTTCTGTCTTCCCACTGACAAAGACTCGCTCCCTGACTGCATTTGGTCTTCCATGTCCATCTGTGCAAAGTCCAGCTTTAGCAAGAATCAGGCAAGTCAGTTTAAAATCCCACCCTGTGGGATCACTCTCAGTATCTGATCAAATGCTTCACCCCCTCCCCGGGGACCTCTCCCCACAATATCTCATTAGCCTGGCCTACTTTCAATACTAATGCTGTGGAATGAATTTGGCAAGAATCCCCCTCCCCTTCCACCTGTCCTCTTAGTGATGCTCTACCCACAGCCTCCCCATCTGCTCCTGGGCTATAAATCCCCACTGTCCCTGTTGCATCCAGAATCAAGCCATCGCGATCTCTCTCTCTCTGCTAGTGAGGCAGTCTTGCTACCCACTGCAAGAGTCTTGAGCAGTCTTTCTTACTATTCCACACGTGTGAGAATAGTGTTTCCTTTAATTCTGCCTCTCCATCCAATTTTGCTTAATCAGGGGAGGCCGTAACAGCTTCCACTTCAGCCCACAGACATTTATTGAACACTCACAAGGCGCCAAGCCCTCTCTCTGCCATCAGAGTCTAGATGTGAACCAATCTGTGATCTAGACTCTGGAGGCAAAGAGGCTTCCTCTCATCTACTAATTTGAACTGATCAGTATCGATTCCCCGGAACACATGAATAAGAAGGACTCAGAAATGGGGGTGTGCCATTACCACTGTCCCCCAGAGATGAGGGGAATGAACAGTGCAGTTGACATCCTCACTTGCTGTCCCTTTTGAAAAAAAATCCTCATCGTAGAGCAGGGATGACACTGGGCTCGGCTTCCACACTTCATCTCATTCGACCCTCACGGGACATCTCTGGCTTAAGGGAGGGGAACCAGACTCTTGGGAAGTCAGCACTTGGTCCGGACCCTCGGGAACTGGGTCCAGACTTACACACAGCCCTGTGAGCCCTGATCTGACCAGCTCAGGACCCCTGCTATACTCACTGTTCTGGGGTGGGGGGTGTGGGGAGCAGGGAGGTTTCCCTCTGACCTGGCCCTTCCTGGCTGGCTGACTCTCTCCACTCCTAACTCCCAGCCACTGATGTCACATCACAAGACTGCCTCAGAGGGGGGCAGAGAAGGCTAGTAGTACTCCCCCAAAATGTGCTCCCCCTGCTACCAGTCAGCTGTTCCTGAAAAGCTGCTACACTGTAGGGCTGCAGGCCCTACAGTGGGGGTACCTGGGGCAATGGTTCTGCCTAGGGCATGGGGGAGCCACAGAAGGAAAGAGCCTGGATCCCTGAGTGTCAGCGTAGAGGAGGCGAATACCCCCAAGCAGGGACATTGGGCTGTTAGGTGAGCAAAAGCTAACCTTGATTAGGTTAAGTCACTAAGCTATTGGTGACATTACAGCAGACAGTGTCACCCCACTGGGAGAGAGGTTGCTCCCCTAGGAAGCAGTATGTGTCCCATATCCTCCTTTGATCTAAAACAAACCTGCAAGGAATATGTTAGCATGACCATCCTCATCTTCAGACAAGACTTAAAGATTTAGGGATACGCCTGAGGTCACCGATAGCTGAAGGTACAGCCCAGGATTGAATCCAACTGTCTGACCCTGGAGACTCATGAAGATTTGGCTACCAGGACAATGAGGTACCTCTCTCCCCTGCCACCAGCCAAAGAGAATGAGCAGGGACTCTCAAAAAACATGGTGGGTGTCGGCTCAGCCAGCGCATGGGAGGGTTGGGAATGTACCAACACCCCATTCCATGTCATTCTAATCAAACCTCACTATTACTCATTACTGGGGTCTGGTTTTCTGGTTTGTAAATTTACATGAGTAGACAATCCTAGCTGCCTCCCTGACCACCCTGGCCACAGAGAAAGGGTTTAATCATGCATTGGAGCATCTTGCAATAACAAGTGCATGTATCTCTTATGTTACATACTTTTTCTCCAAGTGGGCAGCAAATCTGAAACTCACTTTGAAATCCATCAAAGAATAAGGATGGATACATAGAGAGAACACAGCAAAACAGAAATGACTGCAGAATCTATGGGATGGGTGTCTTAGTGGGCTGGGGCTGCTATTACAGGGAGCCCAGGCTGGAGACCTTTCACAACAGGCATTTACTGTTCACAGTTCTGGAACGTGCAAGGTTCAGGTGTCAGTACAGCTGTTTTGCTCTGAGGTCTCACGTAGGCTTGCAAACACATCCCCGTGTCTCTCTGTGTCC